TCGGGTCACCTTCTGAGCCAAAATTGCTGACTGCAACTTGTGATGCATACTGCATAGAATGAAGAAGTCAATGCAAGGAACAAAGTCCTGATCTCAATGATGCCGCCCCATTTGAGCAAAAAGTATTTTCAGTAGCATCAGAATTTCATTGTCAATGAAGTCTGAGGTGTGGACTTAGTGAATGAGACTGTGCATGCCGTTTAGTGCAATAACTGGTGCAACTCACACGGTTTGACATGGACTCAGTTGAGGCCATGGACCCATCTTTTCGATGTTCCATCGCAGTCTTGGTAAGAACAAGAGCTTCATGACCATAGCAAAGTTGAATAGATGAGTTTACACTAGTGTAGAATATGTGAGTTCACACTTTTTGAGGATTAAAGTCCATTTGTTACTTTTCTTGCCCAGCCTATTGATTAACTTGTTTTAAGTGCTCATTTTTGCATATCTGTCTTGGTTCGTAAGTGTGAAAATTGGGACACAACTGGCCCATTTTATTCCCTACCTGGATTGGGGCAAGGAGGAGTAGCTTGAACTTGCATCGTTCCCCAATTTGAGATGAGCCTCATGTCAGTCAAAACACAATACTCAAAAGAATTCTCTCTGATGGATCTAGCTGCCTCATAACTGGTGCAACTCACACAGCTTGACATGGACTCAGTTGAGGCCATGGACCCATCTTTTCGATGTTCCATCGCAGTCTTGGTAAGAACAAGAGCTTCATGATCATAGCAAAGTTGAATAGATGAGTTTACACTTGTGTAGAATATGTGAGTTCACACTTTTGGAGGATTAACGTCCATTTGTTACTTTTCTTGCCCAGCCTATTGATTAACTTGTTTTAAGTGCTCATTTTTGCATATCTGTCTTGGTTCATAAGTGTGAAAATTGGGACACAACTGGCCCATTTTATTCCCTACCTGGATTGGGGCAAGGAGGAGTAGCTTGAACTTGCATCGTTCCCCAATTTGAGATGAGCCTCATGTCAGTCAAAACACAATACTCAAAAGAATTCTCTCTGATGGATCTAGCTGCCTCATAAAGAATAGGAAGAGCCAAAGAAGGATCAAAGTAAGATGAGCCCTTGACCCACAAAGTTCCCCCAAGTGACGGGCGATTCATGATAGGGACTTGACTGATAGGATGCTTCCTAGATACAGCCGAACTTTGCATTTATATTAATCTTTATATCCAAATCCCTTCAGCATAATTACATGTAAATCTCCAATTTAAACTTCGTTAATGAAAAACAAGCACCAATTGTGAAACCACAGGACAGTTCCAAGAAGAATGAGCTAACTTTCCCATCTTTGACTTGTCAATAGAACAGATACAAATATCAACCAACCCAAGCCACATGTGCATCATCTCTTCCCTCTATTTATCAATATAAAGATCCATCAACTTAGTTCATAAAAGAGGTACAACTTCTTGTTATTGGGAAGCAAAAAAAAAATGTTGCTTAAGCGCTCCTTCTGCTGGTATCTTTTCCTGAACTTTGTCTTCTTATTTTCCACTATGCACATAGCAGCTTCAGCCTTTTCTACTCGAGAACAAACACAAGAAGTGGGAGCCCTTCTTCAATGGAAAAAGAGCCTGAGTGACCAAACTCAGCATCTCCTCTCTTCTTGGATGCTTTCTTCAAGCAATATCACAAGCACAAACACAAGTACCAATTCATGCGGTTGGGAAGGGATCAGGTGCAATATTGCCGGAAGTGTCACAGGCATAAACCTCACAAGCATCGGCCTGAGAGGTACACTGCATGAATTCAACTTCTCATCCTTGCCGAACCTATTGTCTCTTGATCTTCATGATAACGAACTTTTTGGAAACATCCCTCCTAATATTTTTACTCTTCGTAACCTAACCTTAATAAATCTGGGTTACAATCAACTCAGTGGAAGCATTCCTCCCGAGGTTGGAAACTTGACAATGCTCAACGTGTTAAGCTTCTCGAACAACCTCCTTTCTGGTCCCGTTCCTTCCACTCTCGGAAACTTGAACAATCTTTCGTTGCTTTATCTTGGGAACAATCATCTAACTGGTCCAATTCCCACGGAACTGGGCAAGTTAAACTTCCTTTCCGAGCTTCGGTTGAACTTGAACAATCTTACTGGTTCTATTCCTGCATCTATGGGCAATCTGACAGGCCTGAAGGTCTTGTCACTCTACGGAAACCAGTTGTCCGGTCCATTGCCTCGAGAGATTAATAACCTCAGCCACTTGATACTATTCTTTCTGTCGAATAACAGCATATCAGGTTTCTTACCTGAGCATATATGCCACGGTGGTATTCTGGAAGACTTTTGTGCTAGTAACAACCATTTCACCGGCACTGTTCCTATAGGGCTGAAAAACTGCACCAGCTTAACAAGACTGCGTCTAGACAGGAATCATCTCATAGGAAATATATCTGAAGACTTCGGCATATACCCCGTTCTAGACTATATTGATCTTAGCTATAATAATTTCCGTGGTGAGGTTTCACCAAACTGGGGAAAATGCCAACTCCTAACCAGCCTAAAAATTTCTGATAATCTTATTGTTGGAGTCATTCCGCCTGAGATTGGGGGATCGTCGCTTCTTCACATGCTTGATCTTTCAAACAACAAACTTGAAGGGAAAATCCCAAATGAGCTAGGAAATTTGAAATCACTCTTTAATCTGACTTTGAGTGGTAACAATCTTTCCAGCGAAATTCCTCCAGGACTTGGAATGTTGCCTGATCTGGCCTATCTTGATCTAGCTCAAAACTATCTAAATGGCCCAATTCCTAAGCAGCTGGGTTCCTGCTTGAAAATGATCTACATGAACTTGAGCAGCAACCAACTTAATGGAAGCATTCCTGATGAATACGGCGATTTGGTGTCACTGCAAGTTGCGTTGGATCTTAGTAGAAACACACTCTCCGGGGAAATTCCATGGCAACTTGGAAATCTGATAAAGCTGGAGATATTAGATCTTTCCAACAATGAGCTCACTGGTCCAATCCCATCAACCTTTGACAATTTGAACAGTCTGAGGCTGGTTGATGTGTCCCATAATGACTTGGAAGGCCCTCTTCCTAAGAACGAAGCCTTCCTAGTGGCTCCGGCAGAAGCATTTCAAGGTAATGCTGGATTATGCGGTAACCATTCTGGCTTAAAGCTCTGTCCTTCTTCAATAGAAAGTCAAAAAGGGAGAAGAATTAGTATATTGGTAATTATGATGCCCCTTGTTGGAGTGTCAATAATTGTCAGTATCGTTGTTATTATTCTCTATACCATGGAGAGGGGGAAGACAAAAATGAGCGAAATATCCGAGGATTCGCATCATGGTAATCTATTCGCAATTTGGAGCTATGACGGGAAATTAGTATACGAGGACATCAAGGAAGCAACTGAAGGCTTTGACCATAAGTACTGCATTGGAGTAGGAGGAAGTGGGAGTGTTTATAGAGCAGAACTGTCAACAGGTCAGGTCGTGGCGGTGAAAACGCTTCATTCTCCCCACAGTTCTAATCTGCCAAATCCAGATATCTTTGAGAATGAGGTCAGGGCGTTAACAAAGATCAGGCATCGGAATATCGTGAAGCTGTACGGTTACTGTTCACATGCCGAACGGTCGGTCTTGATTTACGAGTATTTGGAGAGGGGGAGTTTGGCCAAGATCCTGAAGGACACGGAGCAAGCAAAAGATTTGGATTGGGCAAAAAGAATTAATGTTGTGAAAGGGGTTGCTAAGGCACTCTACTACTTGCATCATGATTGTAGACCTCCTATTATTCACAGAGACATATCAAACAACAATATACTGTTGGACACGAAATATGAAGCTCATGTTTCTGATTTCGGAACGGCCAAACTTCTGAAGCTGGATTCCTCCAACTGGACAGGGCTCGCTGGGACATACGGGTATATCGCCCCAGGTAATCTCTCTGTCTTTCTTTTGGTATGATAAATATCAGTTGAAACCTAAGGAAATTGTCAGTTCCATCTCATGAATATGCATGGGTGGAAAAGGTTAGGCCTCTGATATTCTCGAAGCTCTGTGCTTGGAATAGTTTGATCAAAGATGAGAGATCTTTTAACAGTAACAATTCAACCTATGATCATCATTATCGCATATAGCCGCAAGCAGATAGTTACTGAGGTTCTATTGGATGGAACATCTAGTCAGGGTCCTCGAAAGCTCATAGAAAATTGACATAAACAAGTCTGATTAGATTGCAGAAATCCTTCTACTTCTTTTCTCTTACCTTGCGTGCATCAAAATGGTAAAGTCAATTGTGCATTTTCCACTTATAATTACCATATTTGCTATTCTGATTGTTTTCGGTTACTTTGCCTTGTCTATAGAACTTGCCTACACAATGAAAGTCACGGACAAGTGCGACGTTTACAGCTTTGGAGTTTTAACACTCGAAATAATAATGGGTTGTCACCCTTGTGAGATGATGAGCTCTCTTTCATCTTCCTCACCATTGGGGTCATCTTCATCAGCGTCATCTGCAACATTGTCTGTGCTGCCATCGCATGTACAGACTCTGCCTTTCAACAATTTGTTGGATGAGCGTCTGCCAGTACCCACTCCGGAGATGGCCGACGAAGTAGCGACCATCATAAAGCTGGGCTTCGCATGCACAAATGCTAATCCTCTTCTCAGGCCGACCATGGAGCAAGTTTATATGGAGCTACTGGCTCGAAGGCTACCTTCCATCGAGTCACCCCATCAATTAGCCATAGGACAAGTCCAAAACCCAGCGGTACAAGAACAAGAGGACAAGACGTCTCGGTGACCATGTAGTATATGCAGCACAGAGGGAAGCATATTCCATTTGGTGGCGACCCCTATTTATACCAACTCATGAAAATTCTTACCAGCTTATATCATCCTCAAATCAATAAGAGCCATTGTCTATGTCACGATCTTTCCTTCTAACGCAATTATCAGTATACGAGACAGATAGCTCATCAATTCAATTCTGACAAGACAAGGTGGTACCTAAGATGCACATCTCGATCAACAACTCTCCAATAGTTAATAGACAATATAACAATGAGTTCGGAATGTGAAGAACAGGCAATTAGGCCACGTGCATCAAACTAAGCAAGCTCAAGCATGCCAGCAGTTTTGGTTAGTATTTGGGTGCAGAGTAAAATATGCCGACTTGCTTCAAAAGCAACCTAATTAACGCAGAACAGCATAATGCATCTCTTGGTATGACAATTTTGTACAGCAAGCTCAGTATACCTAGCATTACTGACAGAAAACCATCTATCGATGTTCTTCTTCACCAGCAAGTCTCACTCTCTTGCCCCGTTTAATCAGATAAGGTCCCACCGACAACCACAAAACTGTCCTTATATTAGCTTGTATTGGATACATCCGCCTGGACTTCTTCATATGTTCCAGTTTCCTCGTTAAATGCGTACCTGTATAAAAGCGCACAAGTGAATCATCTAATTTCAAGTATACCATATAAACTAACCGTGGTTGTACCGGTACTACACTAATATCAGTGAAAACTTAATGAGAGTGTTCTGACACCAAATGAAAAATAGATTGCAAAAAGGCACTTGGTTTCATGACTACATCCTTTTTCAACTGCACTTCGATGATTACATAATAGACCAGGAAATACGTAAAAAATGAAAATGGGAGCGGAGCATTAATGCCCATCTCATGTGCACGGGTGCTTTGTATGCACAATGGATCTACATACACGCAACAAGATGCAATTCAACGAAACTTCGATCTCCTTTAATATATTTCCTATAGTACCCACAAGAAAAGTGTACAACTTCTAGGTTTATAAGGGACTTCTCATTTTTTTGTGACAAGGGCACTTGCATGTGATAAGTGTGTAATAGAGGTCAAAAGAAGACAATTTAAGGAGCAAGGCAACCAATGAATCTAACTATCTTTTGCTTTGGAAACAATGTAAAGTCAACTTATTTTACTGGGGTTAACATCAGATAACAGTGACCTGCAGGAATTACAGCCCTTCCATAGCTTTACTCAATTTGATCAGAATTAGACCCTCCATTCTATTTTATTTGCTTTATCTTATGAGACACAACACAAATAATGATGGTATAAATGGATAACCCCAGAACAATAAGCATGTAAAATCATAAAACTCAAGGACATTGGTTAATCAACAATTGTAGAGATATCAATAACAAAATTACCATTGTCCAGAAGCTGCGGAGCAATAAAGCCTAGTAGATGGGTCATAATAATACCCCAAACTGCTACTGTAATAGTACCTGAAAGAAAATATAACAGATCAGACCAAATGACACCGACGGTTGACTGAATTCCTAAGCTGCAACTTCAGTTTGCTTTAAGCACCCAGACGGTCAGATATGTTCAAACTCAAATTCCAGGTCCAAGTAGTATAAGATAAAGGCTGATAGAATTATGGTAGGATAGAAAGGATAAAGTTAAATCCAAAGGAGCACCAATTGCTTCTCAATCCTCAACCAACCCATCAACACCCTCAAGCAGAGGTGCCTGCTTTTGTGTTATATATGTCTCCATTATGTTTGTTCAGTGTTTTTAAACCGGGCTGGTCAATGAAACGGTCTGGCTTCCGGTTCAACCGCTGGGTTGATGATTCACCCAATCTACAACTGAGTTATTATGTTTATTAAAGCCATTGAAAAAACACAAGCGCCTAGCTCAGTTGGGTTAGGGCTGCATGCTGGAGGTCAAGGGTTCAATTCCCAGGCGCCTCTTGCATATACTTTTTTGGAGCTAAATACTAGTCAAACCCGGTTCAACAGACCGGTTCACCCACCAAGTTTGTACCTTTCTTGACCACTCCAGATATTAAGTAAAAACTGCACTGGACCATGGTCAGGGTCCCATTTCAGCCAGTTTAACAGGCCGGACCCGTCTAGGCTTAAAGTCACCAGTGCACGAGCAAGTGAGTGCACGTGCATGTCTGAGGGTTTCTTACACATATAGACAAATGGAGCGTGGACATGAATAGAGGGAAGAAGCGAGTACCCAGAAGACTCGTCATAGACATAATCACTCTGTGACTCTCCAGCTGCAGAGTTAGCAGTAAACACTGTATGAGTAAAAACACAAAGCATAAAAGCACTTCTTCCACCAATTCAAGAAGCTCATGCAAATTAAGCTTACTCCCAGGATTTGCATTGTCAACACTCAATGATGGTTGAGGAACCACATTGTCTCCATGAGGAATATGATCAATCTCTTCAGGTGATTTATTTGTAGTAGGTTGCTCATCATCTTCCGCAAACATATCAAACTCTTCAGCACCGCCATCTAAGGTCGACGCATCAGGTTCTGAAGTTCCAGCAGCAGCAGTGTTGTGACCAGAAGCCAAACCAGTATCTGTTCCTTCAGATAAGAGATTCATTTCAAAACTTTTATCTGTCCCATTGCCTGCAGCTATGGCTGTGCCCCCCTTCCTGGCCCAAGCCAATCTCTCGTATCCTTCTGAGAAAGTAGTGGGAAGAAAACTGTGAATAAGTAAAGTAAATCCACAGGAATTTGCAAGCTTGCATTTACATTTAGACATAACATAATCCGTATTTGAACAGTGAAACAAGGTGAAGGAAGCCACGGAGCAAAAGGATTAAATGTCACACTCATGATTCATATAATTCCAAAAGAAAGGAAAAATTTACTCTTCACCTGAAGTGAAAAAGGCAGCCCATGAAAAATTGAAATAAAGATATTAAACTATATAAAGATCAATGACCACCAAAAATTTCGCAGCTCATGAAAAATTGAGGAACCATCATATGAATACGTCAGTTTGCGCCTATCATTAGCATGAATAATAAGTTCGCCTCCAGGGCAAGAGGGCTGATGCTTAGCCAAAGCATCTGTTGCTTCCAAAAAAAATCTGTTGCTGTGTACCCTCAGCCACCATAGCCGGTGCCCCACAGCCCCACATACTTTCGCTGCAACTATGCCGCCATCACGCCGCCACCTCCACCACCCATGACTGTGCGCGCATCTCTGGACCCGTCATGGACATAAGCTAGAACTGTCTCGGTCGATGTATGCTGAGGCTCGACCGAGCCAAATCTGGCTCTTTGAAAAGGGCGGAGCCAGGCCTGGCTCTGTTAACGGCGACAGAGACAATGTTGATTGTCTTTGTCGTCATCAACAGAGCCCCCCTATGGCAACAGAGGCGGTGGCTCAGATCTTGAAGTGACAACAGCGTCTTCAACTGTGGCGGAAGCAGCGGTTGCGGGCAAGGGGCGGCAATTGGAGTCTATTTGACAGCATCTTTGATGGTGGGCTCTTTGGCTAAGGGGAGAGAGAATCTGAGAATTAGGGTTGTGTCTTGTTCATGTGTATCTGATGTAAGATGACATGTGGGCAATTCAAAGACTCATCAATGCTCGCCAGCTGCCTGGCTGCAGTGTAACCTTTCCCATTCCATTATCAAATTTATACTATTAGCTCTCTCAAGCAATGAGCTGCCCAAATCTCCAAGACTGTCATGTGTGTCCAGAATGATCAAAATCTATGAATGACGTAAGGTGAGAATATATAACGGAGAAGGCAAAGCATTAAAGTAAATGGACTACCTGCCTCTCGTTCAAAAACCTCTCGTGTCTCATGGTACACATCTGCCACATAATATGAAGGTAGTAAGTTAACAAGCAAAAGGTATATCTATGTAGCATTTCAACAAATCTTGACACAATGATGATGACTTAACTGTATTCACCATTCTCCATAAGCGTCACTGCATCTTCCGTGAGCTGGTCAAATAGATGTTTAGTCTCAGCTGACATCTTCTCCTTCCGATTACTTGAGGATCCCTTCAACCGTCTCAATGCATGTAGTACCTAATCAAAGGCAGTAAATCATCTCAACATATCCCACAACCACACAAGCATGTATGCAGACAGCACCACCTAAATAAGCAGGCTACAGAAGGCCTTCAATATGATGCTTGGATTTAGGCAAAACAACTTTTCGCGTGTCAATATAAGTTACATGTCTGCACTGGGCAAAGACCTTAATGCCAATGACAAATCCATCTCTAAATTTTCAGAGTCATTTATTCTGAATGCAATTCTCCTCATTGCAAACTTATACTCAAACCCCATAGTCTGAAATGATCTAAATGGCTTTTGGCATGGTCAGAGAATTCGCTGAAACAACTACAGAGAAACTGAAGTGACAAGTTATGGTTTCATTGACAGCCTTAAGGCATCAAGGTAAAGGTAAAACCAGTCAATTCGCACTTCATTTAAGACCGCATTCTCTAGATAAGGAACAAAGAAAAGCATATTGACTTGCATAACACCAGAACCACATTGAAGATTAAAACAGGGATAAGAACCCAAACAGATTGCGGTACCACTAAATTATGCAAGCTATAGTTGCATTAGCAATGGTAACAACACAGCTTAACTTAAGTCAAGTATATATCCACCAATGTTAGACATTATTCTCTCTCCAAAACAGATCAATATGTGAAAAATCATGTCCAGAGATAGTTGTGATTGTCTGATTCATTATATTCCAGACCAAGCAACGGAAAGAAATAGCATTCTTAAACCGCCCACTACTTCTCTCTTCCCCCCCTCCCACCTCCTTCCACCTCTCCCCACCTCTCACTGACAAAGGACCATTGAAGTGGTTGCCCATTTATTCAAATCTCCATTTCCTGCTTCGAAATCTTTTATCTTGTCAAACACCATTCATGTTTTTATCTATGGGTTTTAAGACAAAAAAGAGAGAGAGAGATAAGCTCCGTAGCTTTTATCTGAAATTTACTAAAATGGAAGCTTACTGTTTCTCCTGGCTCAAGCACGTCGGCAATCCGTCTCTTCATCTTTCCAATATCATCAGACGACAATTCACGAGTATCTTCTTCAGCAGGTGTTAGAACCGAGCTTCTAGAAGCCACGCTTGTAAATGCTTCAACACTGTCAAGCCATGCATCCTGCAGGCATGATAAGAGCCCAATAGAAACTCTAGTCTCTAGGAAATTGTAAAAGGACTGCTAAAAAGAATACTATACCTTGATTTCATTTTCGTTGACATATTCTACAAAGTTTCCGTCCGCATCAAAATAGCCTTCTTCCCTCTCTTTATTCAAATTGAAAGGTTCTATCTGAATCCCATCTTCTACAAAATTTTCATTGTCCTGAGAATCGAATAATCAACGAATGACCCTTTCTCCCCTTGAACAGTACAATGTCTGGCTGTCATCTTTGACAGTAGTAAACGGTCCCAAGCCCCAGTAAGAAATGTATTCAAGCATAACGCAGGTGCAATAAATTTCATAACTGAGGACAAAATAAAGGCAAGTGGCTTCACATTGCTATGTTCGAGATGCAGCAATAGTGCACCAATTCTTTTACCCACAAAAAGCTGTAAGTATGCACAAGAAAGTAGCTCAGAAAACCCCCCCCCAAAAAAAAAAAACGGGTGCTCTAACAAAGTCTTCAACACACAAAACACTCAAAGACGAAGGCACCAGATCACAATCAAACACTGAAAGAGAAAATCTCATTCACATAGACGAGGTCAATGTATATTAAATCTTGCATGCATACACATGAACAACCAAGCCACCTCTTAAAAGCAAGCTAACTACTGATATACCGACACAAGCTATGAAATTACAGAAAGCTCAGAAAAAGCCATTAAACAGCCCTATTTCACCACAATCCAAACTTACAAACGAACAAAAATTTTCCGAATACTATGCACTTGCACTGCTAAAGCTCCTAACCAGATTGAGGAATCAATCGGACAACACAATACCGCGATTGAACCCCAAAGGGGCTACAGAACATGCTCAAAAAAGTTGGGGAAACGAGAAGGCCAACCTCATAAGCCACTTCAGCGGAAGAGATGTCGTTGGCAATGCCCCTGCTATCCTCGCCGAGGAGCTCGGCCGTGATTTGGTTGCGGCGGCTCGCGCGCTCCTTCGCGGCCAGCCGAGCGTCCCTCGCATCGCTAGGCACCTCCTCTTCCACCACGGGGAGCCGGACGGCGGCTTCGTCCCCTGGCTTCACCTTCTTGCCCTTGGGGAACCGCACCCTCTTCTGCCTGTCCATTCCATTCAAACGACGCCGCGCGCGGTCAGCCGAAAACACGATCAGAAGGATCAGGGTCTTAGCAAGAAGAAGAAGAAGAAGAAGAAGAAGAAAAGGGATTGGAGATAGTTACGAGGGGGGTTTGGTGGAGTCGGGATCGTCCTCGAAGAAAGGGCGCTTGCGGCTGGGACGCGACGAACTCCCTTCCATTGAAGCTGAAATCTCAGTGCACCGGTGTAGCTTCCCCAGAGAGAGAGAGAGAGAGAGAGAGAGAGATGGCGTCTCTGCGTGTTGGTATTGCTCGTGTGCCCGAAGTCGCCGACTTGGGTACTCGTATTTTCGTGAGAATTTTCGCGTAATAAGTAATATAGTCCATAAATTTTTAATTTATTAAATATAATCCATAGCATTTTGATACATGTCCAATTTAGTGCCTAAATTATATAAAAATATCCAATATTATCCCTGAATTTGAATTAATGAAATAACAATATTGAACTTTTTAATATAATTTAGGGATTAAATTCAGAGACCACATTACACATTAAGCTAAAATTTAAGAATCGCATTAAATAAATCGAAATTTTATGGACCATATTGCATACATTTAGCAAAAATTCAAAGATAATTTATGTCATTATTCCTATTTTCATCGATATACAAACGGTCCTACTTTTGGCGTTTTGGTATTTTGAGGCATGTCCCTCAGGTAAATCTAAAAAATTATGTCTAGGTAAGTTTTGTTCATTCATTTTTGATAGCATTAGTTATGATCTATGAACCTCTTTTTCCATATTGATCAATGTAAGTAATCGTGGATGTCATCGCGACTTTACAAAATCGCAAATGTGGACAATTGGAAAAATCGAAGGCCGTGTACGTATGGTTAGGTTTTTTTCGAGTGATTTGCTTTGGCATTTGCAATTAACGCCGCGTACGTATGGTTAGGTTTTGTTCGAGTGATTTGCTTTGGCATTTGCAATTAACACCTCGAGGATAAGCTTGCAATTCCATCTAACTCGAGAAGGCATGCAAAACTCACTCTTCGGACTAGTCTATTGTGAAGGGAAAATGACACAAATAGTCCATGAATTTTGACCTAATAGCAATATAGTCCCGAAACTTTTAATTCGTTTAACGTCTTTCTTGAACTTTTAGTACATTTCAATTTAATCCCTGAACCATATAGAAATGCCCAATGTAGTAGTTTCATTAATTCAAGTTCAATGACTATATTGAACATTTTCATATAATTCAAGAACTAAATTCAAGATACACCAAAAGTCTAGCAACCACATTAAACAAACTAAAAAGACCACTTTAAACATTAGGCTAAAGTTTAGATATTACATTAAACAAATTAAAACTTCAATAATCATATTGCACATTTAGCCAAAATTTATGAATTGTTTGAGTCATTATTCCTCTTGCAAACTAGGATTTGCAAGAGTACCTTAAAAGAGAAACAAGTCCTAGGAGAAGTTCTTTCTCTGAAAGCAAGGCGACTCAAAGAAAGCTGCTAGGAACAATCATACAGAGGTCGGAAAACACCCCATCTCAAAATTCAATCTTGTAAGGATAAAGTTCTTCAACTGATTAGCCGCTGAATCGAAATTACGGCAAAAGAAATAAAAGACGAAAACGTAGCAATTGTACACTATACAGTAATGCTACAACTTATGACTAGAACCGAAGCTTTATACCCTGGTAGAACTAGACTCTTTCCCACCGAGCGTCTGAATTATGGCTTCCAGGAGTTTGACATCTCTATCGCGTTTGTCAATCTCTTCTTGCTTTGCCCGCAGCTCCTCCATGTGAAGCTCAAATACCTCTGAATCAAACATATGGTCATGTAAATTACATATCAGTTACGGTAATTTCAGGCATGATGCTGTTTTCAGTGACATAATTCCGCGTTAACCAGCCAATTCTAGTAAAGAAATGTGACTTAAGATCGCTATTATGTAAGCTTGTGATGATCCCTCGTGCTGCAATCTTGCCTAAACTCCGACATCTTATGCCTAACATGACATTATGACGAACTGAGAAAATGTCACTATCAGTAAACTTACTCGTGGTGTTCTCAAGTTCTCTTGTGATTTCCTGAGTACGCAATTCTGCGGCTTTTTGTGCAGCCTCGGCCTGCCTTTTCTCTGATCGAGCACGAGCAGCGGCTGTAATAGCCGCATCAAGCTCTCTTTCCAAGGTCTCGACCCTTTGTTGAAGAATCTAGCATTAGAGAGAGAAGGAACATTTAATATGATAGTGCCTCAGTGGTATTTAACTCGACGGCAATAGCGCAAAAAGTAAAAGAAAGCAGAGACCACAAGCTCTTCAAGATCATGAAGGCACAGTTTGCCCATTGAAGTAAACAATGTATCTCGCTCGACAAAATCCAACAAAGTAAGCAATCAAACGAGTTACAGCAGCCAATTTATTGCCTAATGGGGAGACGTGGTCGAAGTTTCTCAACTTGAAGTGCGTCTTTACGTTTTCACGCTTAGATCTGACCAACATGAAAGAAACAGGTAGCATGAGCATGCTAAATTGAACAAGAACTACTCAATGACCATTGCCGGGAGTAATTCGTGATCTCGAGCTGGAAAATTTTACTCGAACACGGGGCCCTCAGATGTAAAATGATGAAATCTCTTCCTGATTGCCTTCACCTTATCAGCTAATCAGGAAACTTTCACTGTTAGATTCCTTGGACTAAGAGCAGAAACTTCACGGAAGTCAAGCATTTGATTCCTATGCGAATTATACTGCCAAGCCATCTCCCACCAATCTAGAACCTAAATGATCAATCAAGCAATCATAAACAATAATCGGGTCGTTCTCAATTGAGGACAGCGTGCTCAAATAAGCAACTGAATTGGGGGGTTTTGATTGACGAAAATGCAATCATCACCCACATAAACGCATTAGATTGGAAGTGATCGCTCAAAGAGTCAAACCCACGATTCAATTCATCGGTTTTGACACTCGATTGACTAAGAGGAAACAACACGAGCATGAAATGACACGATCGACTAAGGAGCGAAAACCTTGATGGTACGGGCTTGTTCGGCGGTGAGGGAAGCTCGGGCAAAGGTCTCCTCGTCGACGAAGACGGCTTTCTTCAAGAGGAGCCTCTGGAGGGATTCAAGATTCGAAGACATCTCGGTCAGATTCGCGATCGCCCCGCCCCATCTCTCGCTCCCTTTCCCCTTCTCCTCCATCGCCGATTCTCTGCAACTTCTCTCAAAGTCGAGAATCACGCCACCGTGAGAAGAAGAGGCAGAGGCATCACGTTCGCTATATTGTGACAGCATCGGTTTGAACTAATTGGGCTCGTCGTGGGCCCATAACTCATGGGCCTGAGCGGCATCAAACGAGAGCTTTCTACCAAGAACAGCATACAAATCCGAAGCTTAGCCACATGTTTGCTAATGTTCCTCTTAATAGTATCTCCTCTCCCACGTCTAGATATGCTAACTTTATTTGACAATTTGGACCCTTTTAATATTAAAGGTAATATCCATTCTTATTGGCTGAAACTTATTGATATGGACCAAGAACTTACCATACAATATTTATACCTCAAGTATACTATCCCATCATCAAATTTACCTACTTCATAAATTAGCAATGTTCCTTTGGCGAGGCATGGCAAATACCGACATCAAGAGCGAGAAAATGTGAGTACTTTCAGAGTTCATTTGTGAAGCTAAGGCGCATCATCAAAGCTGACAAATCTTTTGGCGAGGCATGTTTGCCGATAGCTCTTAACCAAGTCCACAACTACATTGCCCTGTCTCATTTATAACAACTCTTAAATGACGAGCAGCCATGAGATCTCTAAGAATACAATTATACTTTGACCAAAAAACGTATCGTACATGGTCAAAGGCAAACTAACGGAAAAGGCGGGTTCTTTCACTAATCAAACTGCTGCCGGAGCTGCATCTCAGTTTCGCTTTTCCAAGTGGCGTGAGAAGACTGACCCTTCATCCTCTTACTCTTCTCCTTATCTTTTATGGCAGATCCCTTCTTTTTCGGCTCTTTGTCCGGGTCGGTGGGAGGACGATCTCCACATACCGGGCATACAATTCCTCGTGCACTCGAGTATGTTTTGGGTATACCACACTGCAAACACATTCTGCAGACAGGAAAGAAAGGTGAGGGACTAAGTAAATCTGCAAAACAGATGCCAAAGAGCTCACTACTTTAGCTGTGTCCATAGGGAATGCAAGATGAAATGTATTTACCTCAATAGTTCTGCAGCATCCTCTGCGTTTGGATTTGTTGCAGTTGCCACACGCTTACCATCTTTTACCGTGGTTGAAACAGATGCTGTTGGAGGTTGGCTACCCTCGATATCACTTCTTACACGTTCATGGATACCAACCAACTGAGGTTTAGATTCCAAGACAGCACCTGCGGGTAGTCATATAACTCATGGTCAAGGGCTTTACTATTGTTTTGACACTGGCTCCTTTAAGTACAAACCTTCACCAACTTATACAAAAGCTGTTTGTAAGTGCTTACTTTTCATGCTTTATCAATTGCCTATAGAGTCGAATATGGTATTCAGATAACACTTTTCTCCTTATGAGATAAGCGTGAATATAAGTTAAAGCACTTATATGGCCTCAAAAGGAACTTAAACTACAAACAATAGAAAAAATCTTACTTCCGCTAGTGCACACATGTGTATGAGGGTCGGTAGCCAATTGCCTTTGAATAATTGAATACCATCTACACACAATATCTCTACATAACAGGAGTGTCATGAAACACTTGAGGTGCAACAATAGGGCCCTTCAAGTATTATTGGGTCTGAAAATAAACTAAAGCAACTAACCAAGAATGTTACTTTAAGTTTAAGTTGTGCACATAAGTGTCTGTGTTCAGGCCCTGCCCTTGTAAAGGAGGAATGAGGAACGACTTTTTGTTTTTTTTTTTTTGGGGGGGTGATGGGTTGTTTTGTTTCTGCTAATAGAAAGAATCGTTCTGTCATTTGAACTCATCAATAGTCACGATAAATGATCTCAATCACGTAGGAAATTATAGAGTAATCAAAAGCGAGAAAAATATGACATCAGGATGCATTTTTCAGTTGCAGTCTTACCAACAGGCATATCTTTTTTATCTCTACTTCTCTTACGCCTGCCATGCCTTTGCTGCTCGATCTCTTTTGCCGAAGGCTGCTCTTCCACACTATTATTAAGAAACTCTGGCGGTCCTACAATCTCCATTAGCCACAAGAGAACCAATGGTGGAAAATTTGAGACCTCCCTTCTACTAAAAACATCCACATTGGATACATGAAACTCCTAAAGTTGGATATCACCGAAGCAGGAAGTAAAAGAAAACTTTCAAAGAAAGTTGAGATTCCATAAAATGGACTGGTGATTGTTCACGCTATCAGGCTAAGCACATCAAACTAGGACCTGAACAATTTCCATATTGATAGTATTTTCGAAAAAGTCCAGACTAACGGCGATTGCCGAATGTCTCTATTCCTCAATTTCCACCAATTCCAAAGTCCAAGGTCCAATGAAAGAGGACTTACCGCACATTTGCTGATGCTGCTGTTATTCAATTAGCAACAAAGAATACAAACATTGCGAAATTCAATTAATTAGCTGCAGTCGAAGAAATCACCTCAACATCCAACTCCAAGAGGGTAAAGTTAAGCCCCTATTCAGTCTTAGTCTCTCACGATGCAGCAACTCAGGAAATTCAACCACACAGCAACTCAAAACGGCTCATTTCATTGATAATTACCCATTGCCACCCTCTATGCGAAAATGGGTACACTGTAAACGATTCCCAAAGAGAAAAAAATCAAAACTTGCAGCTATGTAATGTCGTTCTCAGCCCAGAAAAGCATAGCATAAATTTGGATTCCACAGATCACAATATCAATTTCCAGTCCCTTTCCATACCGTCTGGGTGACCAACAAGAACCCTAACGCAAAACAAATTTTCACTCTTCCCGAACACGAAACCAAGGCGAACAACACAGAGAAAAACTCGGGGTACGGAAAGCCGGTTTACCTCGGAGAAGGCATCGAAAGCAGAAGGAAGGCCCGGCTTGGGCACATCGAAGGGGGCGGAGCCGGCGTTGAAAGGGCGGCGGGGACGCTCGTCGTCGCCGTCCTCCTCGGAGGAATTGGGGAAGCGAATTGGGTCGTCCGCTTCTTCTTCTTCTGCGGAAGAATAGCCTTGAAGAAGTGCCAAGCTCATTCTCACTTCTCTCGGTCTCTGTCGGACCTCTAGCTGTTCTCCCAGGCTAGTCGTTTTGGGTTTTATTTCATTGGGGAGGCTATTTCCACAGCCACGGTGGCTGGGTACACCGCATTTTAGTTAAAGAGACGAAATTGCCCTTGATGAAAATTATCTGTGGAAGAGCAGTGCCCTCATTGCATACTGGTTTCAGATATCTTTTTGTCCGATCTCATGTTCAATTGATGAGGGGAGATGTTTTCCTAGTTATGAATGAAAAACTTAATTTTTGTTTGGTCCATTATCAGTGTAAAAAAGAATGTACACACACATTATTGGGCTGTTGATATGTAGAAAAATTCGATTACACAACTAACTCCAAACACACATGTCACCCATCCAATGGTAAATGCATAAGTATTTTTTCATGCATGGATGGATATAAAAATAATTCTTAAAAATTTCCCCATAAAACTTAGGTAAACTTTTATTTTAACAAAAAATTAAAGAGATACATCATCTTGTCACACAAATTACTTTAATTTCTCACAAGTTACTTTAATATCATACGTTGATTTTGTTAAATCTGTCAATTATAAAATATGATCATATGGTGAAAAGAAGTGGGTACTTAAGTAGCCAATGGCTTCGAGATTTATTGATGCAATAGTAGTTTTAGTGGAAGCAACTATCCACTAATAGAAAAACAACCCGGTCAAAATGCATAAAGTTATCCTTCTGGATTTTATTATTGCAAGAATCATATAAGCCATTAGGGTACTATAGTAAATTTGGAGGTAGACACCGAATTCGAAAATAACTCTTCATATATATATATATAGAATGCACACCCTGCAGATGTTTACTTCCGAGTTAAAATGAGCTACTTTGCCAACATTATCATCTTTCAAATTGACAGAGTTGTCCAATTCTTGTTTAGCATAGCATTTCACAATTAGCACTGCTTAGGACTTTTTTTAATCCACTTCAAGCAAAAGAAAAAGAAGAAAAAGCTACTCTGGAATCAAGGAAGCCAATGTTTTTTAACACATCACATAGTCTTTGCATTCTTCATTTGCATATCAAGATTTATACAAACACTTCCCAGCTAAATTCAATATCGCAACAATTGAAGAAATGGTCCAGTGGCCGGGTCCTAAATTTCAATGACACATCTAATCCCAGTGACATTACTATTCTTATGAGATTTACCCCGATAAATTCTACATTTAACCTTCTAACCCCTGATAAGTTCGAGTAAAATGGCTGCCACAGTTTCACTGGCCTTCTCTTTGACACCGTTAAATTCCCTTCTCACAAGGTACTCGAGAGAGCTCCCCGTTTTAGCTGAAAAGACCCTGTTTATGTCTTTGATGTCCTTCTCTGAGCGAGTGACTATGATTCGCACGAGAATCTCTCTAGCGTCGGCATTCCTCATCCTGAGCTGTTTCGCGAAAAACTTCTCTGGGTTCTGAATGCATCTGATCACTATTCGAAGATCCTGGCCGAATTGGCCACACTTGCTTTGCTTGACCAGCTTGGAGAATTCGTGCCCGTATAGCTGCTTGTAGGAAAGTAGAATGGCTTTGACTTGGGAAGTGTTTCGCTGGCTCAAGAGTGAGATGATAGTCTTCTGATCAATGGTCCTCCCACTCTCCACGGATTCATACAGAGTCTTGGCATCACAAAAGGCCAGGCTTGTGTCCGCTTTGTGGGTGTGGTTGCGACATGACTTGCATATTGCAGCTAGTATCTGGAAAAAAAGAACTAGAACATTCAGGAAGTTGCATGCGGAATTAGTCAGTTACAAAAGGTACCTCATAATAGTTGTGCACCTCCTTAAATCCGCTGCTGACTTTCATGGAGATGTCTAGTTCAAGATCAGATTGATATCGAGAATAGTATTGCTGCTTAATGTAATGCAGCTCTGACGAAGAACGGGTGCATGTTATCTCAATCAGTGTGCCCAGATTGATGCTTCCCGCCACAAGTACTCTTCTCAGAATCTCAGCATCACGGCTCTGAGGATCACTCACGCGCAGATAAGCCAATCTCTTTACAAGGAAGATTAATTTGTCAAACAAAAAAAAAAATAGCATTATACTGCACAATTAGAAGAAATTGGTCCTTCAGCAAGCTAGACTCACAGTAAATGCACTGCTCTTTTGATTGCTCGAGATGACCCGAAGAAGATCATGACCATATAGAACACTGTAGGTCTGGCAAATGGCCTTGAGTTCTTGTGACCTCCGGGAAAATATCTCTACAAGCTTCTGTCCCTCGCTTCCACCGTTTCCTAACATAATGACAATCCAAAATGATGGTGACGGAAATCTCAAAAGGAAAAGTCCGGAAATGAATGAACACTGCATAATATCTATTCAAAACCCAGTTCTTTATGGAGTTGGATTAAGGAAATGTTACCAGAGAAAAATGAACACAAGTATCGGCACTCCGCCTCATACTGCCTTGAGCTTTTCATTGGAGTGCTGCTCATTTGTTTGTTACTTTCGGGAATTATCTCTTACCTGTTGCTGTAAGCATACGAAGAAAAGCATTTTATAGGCAAAAGTCGATGCTAAATGTCCTTTAGGAATGACGTAACCATTTCTGTGTCTGGCTTGCAGAAAGAGAAGTAGAGAAGAAGGAAGCAAGAGCTACGTCCAAAGTGGAAGAATCTTGAAAGGAACAAATCCTTCATTCCAGTGTCGACCTTATGTTTCCTCCCTTTCCCATGATTGTTCACTTTACTGGTGACTTCAAAATGTCTAACATTTTTGTCCGTAGACAAGTACAACAGCATCTTATTCTCTCTAAAGTTGCCCACAGCACTTTCTGATTTAATACCTGTGGCTCATATATTACAGGAGTAAAATGGCTTCTTCAAAAAGCTTCCCTAATGCAAGTATTCTTCCTGGCCTTCTCAGCAGATCATTAAAAATACCGGCCTTTGAACAACATTCCATGATGCTCCCACAGATCAGCAAGCCAAAACTTCCGCCTTAATCATGGTGCGAGAATTTTGAATACAGTGCATTGATGTAATGATTTTTATTTGAGACACATAAAGGGGGCATAACTATAACAATATACAATGTCTATCAGAGATATATCAGTTAATTAAGGGGACAAATTGCAGCTTAAACTTGTAATATCTATGTGCCATAAGTTCCTTCTCACTCTCCTATCGCAGTATTCCTTCATATTCTTTTTACAGTCTTAAAAAATTTGTGGAGGCTACGCTCCAACATAACGTCAGCGATTCAGAACTTACCCAGCAGCATATTCTGAGAAAAGGAAATTATACAAATTGCCAGCACCCACTCTTGCAAGCTCGTACAAGGAATCAACTGCTGCTCCTTAATTGAAAACAACTGGAAAAAAATAAATAAATGAAACTACTAAACAGCGGAAGAGCAGTGATTGTTCTCTTTCTTTTTGTAGAGCAAAGGAGAATACAGGAAAGTGGGTTTTGCAATGGACAAGAAAAAAAAAAGTTGAATGGAATTTATATCAAGAATTTCCTGTCACAAAATTGCAGAGCCCATAGGGCTGCTTTTACTGCCGAAGCTTGCGAACTAGAATATATCAAATGGTGCATTAGAATTTCCAGCATATGTACTTTGCTTTTTCTCAAGCCTGGCACTGGAAAACTTCTGTCTCTCTGCCTCTCTCTCCCTCCCTCTCTCCCCATCCCTTCCTTCACTGATTAAAAGGCAGCAGACTAGCTTTACTCATATCTTCTTCTCATAAAATCAAAACTGCAGATGATATGGACTATGGAAGTTCACATTGACCAGTTCAGAACAGTAAAGTGCTTCCATAACAGCCCAACCCGGGAGCTGAAACCGCCAAGAAACTTGCCCTCTGTGGAAGCATACATGAAACAACCTCAGGCACTTAGTAGAATAGATCTCCATGTCATATGCTGCCAAAAATGAAAACACAATATAAATACAAAGAATAAATGACTACTTCTGTGCATACTTTACACGTTGATGCTTTGATTGTTATGTGCTTCTTATTGAAAAACTCATGCATTGAAAATCGAATAGCACATACAGAAGGCAAGCGGATAACGACATCATTGATGCAGACAGTCTCAGAATAATTTGGCACTGTAACGCAAAAGATACCAACAATTACAAGGAGACCTGCAATTTAACAGAATCTTCTCTTCCAAAGGAAATTGAAGTCAGAGACTCAGTGGTCCAAACAAATGGACATAGTGAGGTGAGAATAAAATATGATGCCAAACTTGAGGAAAAGGGAGGAGGAGCAATCAACTTAATGCATAACTTGAATGCATGTAGATTCTTCAACAAGTTACATATTGATACCAGATCAACTCTGTCCTCATGCGTCTAGTATTTACTGCACAAAACCCAAACAAAAGATCCCTAACAATGGCATACGATGCTGCTTTACCATGTCGCGTCTCAGCAAAATCAGGTGTAGAGTGTCTTAAGCAAATATCTAGAATGGGGGAATATATAGAAGCAGGTGTTTCAGCAGTGAAGGTATTGCTCATGGTCAAGTGATACTTGAACATGTGATGTTCTTGTAAACGACAAAATCTGAACAGAGAAAATGTCCATATTTTCCTGAAAAAAGGTTTATCGAGTGCAAAGAAAACTGAAAAAAAAGTTGAACCATGTCAACTCAGGAAGAATGATTAGATAATCATCGCTACTTTAGCATCATGCATGCACGAGAGGTGGATAACTTTTAAAGCAGCAAATTATGACCGTAAATGGTCACAAGAAGCTACCTTTCAGATATGAAGCTAGATAATGAAAGTATACAGAGGGAAGAAAAACAGCACCCACCATCAAGTTTGAGCCCCAGAATGGACGAGAGCACCCTCTTTCTCTTTCTTGAACCTAGCTATGTGATCATGATACTCTTCGAGCTCTTTCTCCAACCTCTCAATGAACTGACTTGTGTGCTCAAGCGATTGCTCAAACTTATACTTTTCCAAGGCCTAAATTTTGGAAACATGTAAGAGAGAAAACATTGTAAAATAAAAGTCATTCATCAAACAAAAGAGCGAGTCAAAATGTATAAGAAAGGAAGGTATTTGGCCCTCAATGATCATCATACAAGATATGTGTATCGTCAACTGAGGTCAATATTTTTCTTTTGATAACTAAAAGCAATATTGTGGAAAAAAACTTAGAAAAGTCGCACATCTAAGAAGACACGAACAGGAAGTAAAGTTAACAAGATAAACTAATGGAAAACGAATGGCAGAATAAAAAACAAGAGCTAACTTTATGCAGCAATTAGATCAGTCCAAATCAGGCTTGTGAATGACAGGTTCCCTCTCATAGACTCCAAAGGTTATCATCTATGATCATACTTTCTTGTGTCATCGTGCCTTATAAAGAGGATATACAGGAAGTAGTCTATATAACACCACTTTGATTATGCAATTTTGATAATGCAACAAGTAGTCACCATAGAGAACAAGAAAGCTTGAAATCACCTTGTCTTTAGAAAGAGTATCTGGAGGTGACATAACCTTTGGCTGCACATAGTTCTTTCCTCGGTAGAAGATTATTGTATTATCAGGCCTTATGTCAATCACAATTCCTTTGCTCAGTCGTGCAAGTTCATCAGCATATTCATGAACCTGACCTGGCCTACAAGGTTTGCATATAACCTTTACAGTTTCATGCTTTTTCCAATGTAGATGCATGTTTAGAACTACACCTCCAAATACTCCGCGTCTTCCAACGGGAACATAATTTTTCTTTTTCTCACCCGTACGCTTCAAGTAATGCTTCTCTTCCTCAGTTAAAATCTCAGGATCATATCTTTCAGCTGGTGCTTTGGGAACCTCGAACTTCCTCAACTTTTCAATCAACCATTCTTCCTTTCTCTTGGCCTAGACAAAATTCTCCAAAGGAAGGATAGCAGATAACTTTTTGTCAGGTGGTTACACAAGCAAAAATCCAAAGATGAAAAAAATGGGAACTGCAATATGGTGAAGAAAATTTCATTATGAACAAGTGAAAGAATATCATACTGATGTAAACTAAAAGAGAAGCCACAGAAAACAGGGTCTGTATAGCTTTACAATAGTAAATTTTAAGCAAAATCGAGGAAGTTCTAAGTGGAGCGTATCTTGGCCAAATAGTTTCAGAAAAGTCAGAATAAAACTGCAAGAGCATCCCCCCAACCCCCGCAAAAAAAAAAAAAAAACACACACACACACACACAGCCCTAAATAGAGAAAAAAAAGAAGCAATGCAGTCATCTTATAACTTTTCAGAGGGCTCAATACACTACAACACAAGACTGTATCTCATATAAAGATGCAGGAGTTCCATTGTCCTTTACACACTAGTGAGATGTCCAACCTTTTCAAGTTTATATCTGATCCTGACTTCAGGATTTGGAGAGTTCATCTTCTTCTTGGCCTTTAGCCGATAGAACCTGAGTTCGTTCACTTTTGCCTTTTTTGATTTTTTTATCCTTTTCTTCACTTTTGTCGGGGGACCATTTTTGTGCAGAGGCTTATTTATAGAAAACCTGACAACATCATTATCTGTCTGCAACTCGAATGATGCAGTGCTTACATGTCTAGCATGTAGCAATTGGTCAGCAATGACACAACCTTCATGTGTACTTAATCTCCACATTGGGAGAGGATGTACTGAAAGGGAAAGGAAAATTCGTTCTTGGAGAAGCCTCACTATCCTGCAGCTCTCTCTGATGTGAGCACGTGACCTCACAAATATATGATCTTTAGGCAATGATGAAGTATTTGAAACATGATGAGCAAGGAAACTAGAGCAGACGAAAGAATCCCTGCAGATAGAAACAAGTCCGATATTATGAAGAACATTCATTAACGAAAAAGTCAAAAAAGCAGGCAAAAGATGAAGATGGGCCAGAGATATTTTGTTACACATCAAATAACTTAAGGTAATGCAGGTAAAGTCGAGGGGTACAAACTTAATCAGTTTCGCAAGAAAGTAAAAACCCAGACTTGGGCCTCTGGAGAATTAAAAGGCAAGTCAACTTGTTCAATTTATCACATCTATTTTACTTGCATATAGAAGGCTAATTGGCCTTGACTTATTTTTAATGGAATTGGGTGGAAACAACCCCGAGTAATGTAACAGGTTAAAAGTAACTACACGAGGCTCAAAGAGATTGCCTCGTAAAGCTAGATTTGAACTGAGAACTTGTTCATTTCTTAGCATGGCTTTCTCTCACAAGGTCTAAACCACCCCAAAATGGAACCAGTCTCAATCCTTGGTTAAAGCTCACATTGAGCACAATACTATAACCCTGTTGCAAGGAACATTTTTCTTTCCCATCCCAAGTCCTACTTATTAATGGCAGGTAAGGTCAAAGCTTCTAACGAAGTAAATGAACAAACACATTGCACAGAACCCCAGCTTGCCATTTAGTTGATTCTTGAAAATACCACAAGAACACATACACTTATCTAATCAAGTTCGAAAAATTGAAGATAACAACCATTAACTCAAGCTTGACGGCCCATTCGCGACACCGATATCAGCTACAACGCCATGTGCATATACTTAGTTTGAAGTTTCATCAAGAATCAAGATAGATGCCAAAAACAGGATCACCGAACTCGAGGGGGGTAAAAACAGACAATCACTAGCTCATTAGTTTTCTTTTCGACGCCACTCACGTTCATTCTGTTCGACATTAATATCAACAAAGTTGTCTCTTCGAGACGATATTTGATGAGAACGAAGAGCATGAAGGCAGGCAAAGAGCGAGATGCCCGAACTGCGACGACCGGTCACGAGGCCACGTAATGGCCGCACAGAAGCGAGGAAACATCGAAAGCAATGTCGAAAGACGCGGAACAAGTACCGGCGAATCATAGGATTGGAGAATCCCCGAACAGCGACTCTCGCAGGAGAAGATGCTGCTCGTAGCATGACTGATGAGGAGTAAACGGCGATCGATTCCTCCGGACAATCAAAGCCGCTTCATCGTCTACGCGGACGCTTCGTGAGTTCATCAACTTCGACTTCTTCGAGTGCAGATCAAATCTTTGTAACGCCGGCGTAGCTGGTGATGCTTACGGCGTCGGAAGTCGATCGGCGACAGAGGAAAATCCGACCAAGTGAACGGGGAAGTAGATGCCGACGTCGAATTCACCCCTACGGAAGATTTATGTTTCGTCCCAACCCAAACATGGAGCCCATACTGCAATTGGGCAGGCCCATTATGCCTGAGCATTCGAATAAATAAATAAAAAAATAATTAATATCACGAAAAATCTTAAACTAATACACCTATCATCTACCACAAATAGACCACCAGAAATCCAAATTGGTACACTTGTAACAAATTTATCATTAATTAGTTTCCGTTGAATTAGATTAAGGGAAAATTTCAATTAAGGACCCCAAGTGGGGTCTTTTTCTCAAAAAAAGAGCCCAAGTGGACATAGTGTCTCAAATAAAGGCCTGAAGTACCCAATCAGTCTCAAATAAGGACCTGAAGTGCCCAATCAGTCTCAAGTAAGGGCCTGGGTTCGCCGGGCGGTCAAATGCTCGTCGGTCGGCGAGCAAAGTTACTGTTCCGGCGATCGGAAAATGGCAGTTTCGTCTTTTTTTTTTCCTTTTTTGTTTTTTTTCCTCTTCCCTCCGTCGGCCAAAGCCGGAGCGCTCGGAGGTCGTCGGCCTCGGCGGAGGCGCCTCGATCGGGTTGGGCGGGCGAGGCTACCTCGCCGATCCGGCGACCTCACCCTCGCCGACGTCGGCGGCGGCCTCGACCGGCCGGGCGGGCAAGGGCGACCCTCGCTGGCGTCGAGCAAGGGCCGCCCTCGCCCAACGCCGGTGAGGGCGGCCTCCACCTGAGGCCGGCGACCTCCGTCGGCCCCGGCTATGGTCGACGGAGGGAAGAGAAGAAAAAAAAAAAAGAAAAGGAAAAGGAAAAGGAAAAAAAAAAAAAAGACGAAACGCTCTTTTCCGATCAGCTAACAGAATCGCTCGTCTCTCTAGCAAGCATTTACGGCCGCGCTAACCCGGACCCTTATTTGAGACTAATTGGGCACTTCAGGTTTTTATTTGAGACTGATTGAGCACTTCATGCCCTTATTCGACACTATGGTGTTTGGTTCAGCTTTGGGAAGGGCTTTTAGCCTCGAAAGCCCCTTCAAAAATGCTTCTGGAGTGTTTGGTTCAAAGATTCGGCCTTTGATCGCCAAATGTTAGCATTCCACGAATGCCACTGTTCACCCTTTTTTTTTTTTTTTTTGGGTTGAAGCCGTTCTTCACAGGCGCGCGAGGCGGCGGCCACAGGGGCCGGCGAGGTCGCTGGGTCGGGCGACCGCCAGCGACGCCGTCCCAGGGGGCCGCTGGGTTGTGCGACCCAGGCGACGGCCGCTGAGGTCGTCAGCGACCAAGGGGCCGTCGCTGGGTCGCGCGACCCCGCCGAGGGTCGCCTCGTCTCGAGCGACCGCCGGCGGCAGATCCTGCTCGCCGGGGTCACGCGACCCAGGGGCCGTCGCTCGGGTCGCGCGACCCCGCCGAGGGTCGCCCGGCCTCGAGCGACCGCCGCGGCTGATCAGTCAGCTCGCAGGGTCGCCGACCGGCGACGGCGCCGAGGCGGCTCGGCTCCGGCGATGGTAGGTTTTGTTTTTTTTTAATAAATAAATAATTCTCAAAGTCCATTTGCAAAAAAATTCACCAAACACAATATTTTGGCCAAAGTAGCTTTACAAAATATTTTTACCAAATACCATTTGCATTTCCCACAAAGGTATTTGCATTCCCCCAAGTAGCATTTTCAAAGTTAAACCAAACAAGCCTTCACTTGGGGTCCTTTTTTGAGAAAAATACCCTACTTGGGGTCCTTAATTGAAATTTTCCCTTAGATTAATATTACAAAAAATCACAAACTTGTATACTTATAACAAACAGAAGGTAAAATCTCAAATAAATACACCCGTCAACTGTCATGTGTCATTCAATTCAGCAATTTGATGGTAAAATTTAACGGAAACTAATAAAGGGTAAATTTATTGTAGGTGTACCAACTTGAGGTAAATTTATAATAGACATATCAGTTTGAGATTTTTCGTAGTATTAACTCTAAAATAAAACAAAAACTGCGATAACAATTTGGTATACTTGCGTTAAAAATATTAGGAGATGAGTTGACATAGAAACCGGCAGTAAACGGAGGTAATCATCTTCCGTGTTTAGGCGCAAAAAGAAAATTCCTGTGTCTGACTTCTGCTCGCGTCTCCGAAATCACCACAGTGGGAGCAGACGACGACGACTCCTCCGCTGTGAAGTCGAACAGCTTTTGGTTGCCCCTTCACGACATCATCGTATCCCGAAGCCCTGTAAGAAGGCGGCGGTCGTTGATCATGAAGAACGACGGCAAGAACATCGTCTCATGGAAACGGAGGGAGCTCCCGCTCTTGGTGCTGTACGCGCTCGTGTTCTACGCCGTCATCATACGGCGCTCTTTCCAGTTCTCTCGTGGTAATTCGTGTTCGGTTTATGCTGCTGCTGCTGCGGTAGCTCCACTGTCTATTGTTGTAATGCGGATTTGGTCTCGCGGCACGAGTTTTGATCTGGGGGTGTGATGATTCTTTGCAGATTACTCGTTGAATCTCGATGGACTCCGACCTGGCTGGATCGCCCACAGACTCAATGTATGTCTTTTCCCCGCCTTTGAAACTTCAATACGGATTGTCGTCACTCGATGAGCCTCTGTGGGGAAACTTTTCCATGTGCATTTACAGTGAGTGATGCTCTTAGTGATTAGCGTCCCCATTGGTCGGATTGGGCTTCTGGGTGAGGTGTTGAGGACTAGGAAGCTACTTTGTTCTGAGTTATGTCTGTTATCATTGTATGATATAAATTGCTAATTTAGCGCATTCTTTCCTTTTTTTTTGCGCATGTCTTATCTGGAAAAAAAAAAAAAAGGTTTTCCTTGGCTTGATTGATTGCTTCGTGGGGAAGTGCAAATCATTTCTCTGAACAGGGAGTTTAAGCTCAAGTTTTATACACATGGATGGCCGTGTGTACATACGCAGCAGGGTTCTGTTTTGCTTAAGTAAAATGACCCGTAAAGAAGAGTTATGTACATTTGGGGTGATATTCCCTCACTTGTCTTGGACTATCCACAGTACCCTCTGCTTTGTGTAGGACTTATCGGATGCCCAGTGGAGAAACTTTCGTGGAAATTTGCCTATCCTCACCGTCGTTTTTGGAATTTTTGCATTTGTTGCCAATAGCACAAGAGTACTTTTTCATTTGAAAGCGCGGGGGATGTCCAACGTGTGGCTTCTGATTTCTTTAGCTTACCTGCTTTACCTACATGGAGCATGGTATGTAATGTACTTTCCATTCTTCTGTCTGTTTTTTTATATGTTCATACAGTTTTTTTTCTTCGTTGACATCCTTCCTCTCTGTTCTTCTTTGTGGGCAGCACTGTGTTTGTCTTGTCAATTGCTTCACTTAACTTTCTTCTTGTGAAGGTAATTTCCATTCTATTTTAAATATTATTCTTACGCTGGAAATGCAACTTTAGGATGGGGGAAGATAAAAAGGTGTGTGTATGCATGTCAATGAGGCGGGTGGTTTAGTTTTCCTCTGATGATATCTTCATTTGTTGATGCTTGTGCAGATATTTGTGAAGACAAAGTACTTTTCACTTATGCTGTGGTCTTTTTCCATTTTTTTTCTTCTATGTAATCGTGTTTATGAGGGGTACTCTTTTTCTTTGTTCGGGTAAGTTTTTATTCTCAGTGTCCTTAGCTTGCAATGGATAAACTCACGAGCAAAGTTATAATGCAAATTTATCCATTAATCATGCACAGGCAACGCTGGATCTTCTTGGACAACTTTCGGGGAGTTTTTCGCTGGCAAATTTGCTTTAACTTCGGTAATTCTGTCATTAAAATTGGTCATAGGTTGAGTGGACATTATTCCTTGGTACTTCTGTCATTAAGAACTTGGCTCCTGGATTTTCTATATATGATCTTGGCCACTGTAGATTATATGAATTCAAGAGTGAATTCACAACATTACAGAAGCACGATGCTACTTAAAGTTACTCTTCTCAATGCAACAATGGCCTTTCTGTGGGTGGTCATTCTTACTTGTCAAAAGGCCATTGCTGGAGGTCTTGTCTTTACCTTCTTTGCATGGGAAAATTCAGATGACACGTAGAGAGATGATTTGTGAAAATTTCACTAGCTAGTAATGGCACTTGCCCTTCACCTTTGCTGACCATGTTTCTGCTTTTGTCGCTCTTGACAGTAATTTTGCGAATGGTCAGTTTTGGATATGATTACTGCTGGGCCTGTCGAGGTTCGGGATTTAATCAGAAGGTATTGTCACTGCTTATTACTTGTGAAAATGTTGCATACTTAGCTTTTCATTGCCTCAAGTTGAATCTACATCAAGTATTATAATTTTTTATCAGAGTATGTACTAAGACGAACGCAGTCTTAGTAGCATTAGCTAGATGTTGCTCAATGACATTCTTTTTGCCATGTGTAGAAGCATGCTGAGTATTGCCGCATTTGTAAATCAAGAAAAACATGCCACCAAATTTTACAGTTTGGTTGGATTCTGGAATAGAACACTATTCATTTTGTTCTTGCAATAAGTTAGGTTATTGACAAGTTTGAATGTTATCAGGAAAAAAGTGTTCCAAGTGATAAGTATTCCTTTGGAATATACCTGTGCTATTTGATATATGCACCTCTCTACATCTCAGGGCCAATTATAAGCTTCAATGCATTTGCTTCACAGGTTAGTTTGGTGTTTTACATATCATATTTTTAACTTTTTCTTTTATTTAATCTAGTTGTCCATGCTTAATGAGTTATTATATGAAAGTAAGTCCTCTTTGATACCTTCATGATTGGATGGGTCCATTATAATAGAAGCGTTTGTGCTGTTGTGCCTCGTATGTACCATGTGGCAATGAGATTGGAGAAACTAGCCAATCGTAGATTGAGATTCTAAAATTCAAACTCAAAGTTGGTTAGATGCATACCATATGAGCGATGTGGTTTAGCCATGCAACTAATCGTTGTACTTGTGAAGTGCAAAGTTTTTTAGAGTTTTTGGATATTTCCTTTGGAAATATGGGAGATAATACATGATGATTTACTTCTTTGAGATTTAGAGTTGACCTTCAACATTCGTATTAGGATAGTGGACATCAAATCGGTGAAGAGAAGGGTTTAAAGTTAATAGACATCCAATGCATTGCTTTGACATTTTTCAAGGAGGTGAGACTATGGAAAGTAGTATATTCTAAGCACTAAATACCAAATTGAGAAAGGCTTGTTTATTCTTTTGTTAGCAATCCAGAATTTGCGGAGCATATACTGAATTTTGCTATTGGATAAGCCCTCTCACTTCTCTTTGATGATATACTGCCGTGTCACGCTTATGCATTCAATCCCCTTGATATAGAAAATTTTAGGGTTTCATGTCACCTTTACGGGTTGATTTGCTACATTCTTGCTGCTAAATTGGGACTAAAGAGTATTATGTGGTTCACTGAACTTTCGAATTATTTGTTGCCGCAGCTGGAGACGCCACAGAAGAATTATGCGCTTAAAGACATAGTTCTCTATGGAGTCCGATGGATATCGAGTCTTCTCCTTATGGAACTTATGACTCATTTCTTCTATTACAATGCCTTTGCAATCAGGTGATTCTTTCACCCAAAATGTTCACTATATAATGTTTTTTGTTGATTACCTTAAAACCAAATATGTTTTTTGTCCAGTGGCTTGTGGAAGCAGTTATCAGCCATGGATGTATTTATCATTGGCTACGGAGTAAGAATGTCTTTTTTGTATCCTGTCTGTTGCTTATTAGTTTATTGTTGCAATTGTTTATGTTCGAATTTGTGTGGCAAGTGAGAAAATACACCTTCTGTTGCATGAAAAAATGAAGTAAAAGGTAACTGAGGTAGAGTTAATCACCGGTGAAAGGGCAATGTAGAAACCGAGGCTCCAATGTTTTTCTGAAAACTTCAAATCAGCACTATTTGGCCAGTGCAGAGGATCACTAATTCCATTTGGATCTAATTATAGATGCATCTAAAAGAAGTTCACCTGGCAAACCATTGTATGAAAACCAAGAAATAAGAAAGGTCATGAAGAGTCCGACATAGGATGGAAAGCATACTCCAGATCAAATTATAGTTAAGGACCAGGTTCTGTTTGGCTGTAAAAATGGACTAATGCAATATAAGATGAGGAGGGTATTATGTAAAAAAGGAGTAAAGGTATGTCTGGCAGAGACAACTTTAATTAAGCAGAACTATTTCTGTGTAATATACTTTATCTTTTTTACATATATTTGTGGACCAATAATGAATTTGATTACTTAACTTCCGTTTTGGAACCATTCTTATGTTTGTACAGGTTTTAAACTTTATGTGGCTGAAGTTTTTTCTGATCTGGCGATATTTCCGCCTTTGGTCACTGGTAATTTTCCAGGATTTGATTGTCGTTTGTACCTCATTAGTTCCTTAGGCAAGGGATTCGTTGTGCATCTTTGATCTGCATTGCTGACCTTCCTGCCTTAATAGAGTTTGTGTCCTGCAATTGCAGATATGTGGGGTTGAGGCTCCTGAGAATATGCCAAAGTGCATCAACAATTGCTATAATCTGGAAAGTTTTTGGAAAAGTTGGCATGCATCCTATAACAAATGGCTTGTAAGGTGCAACTTTCTCCTCTTTATTGTTTGTACTTCTCCCATCGACATGGACTCATGCTATTCCAAATTTCCACCATGTAAGGTACATGTACATTCCTCTAGGAGGTTCTCAGAGAAAAATACTCAACATATGGGTTATATTCACATTTGTAGCATTGTGGCATGACCTCGAATGGTAATTCCAATTCCTCAAGAAACTTGTTCTGTAATTTCTTTTATCTGATGGAGGAATTAGGTGCGCAAGCTTGATGGTATACGCCTTATCTTACAGCTTATGCATTTAAACAACAGGAAACTTCTATCGTGGGCTTGGTTGACTTGTTTGTTCTATGTTCCAGAACTGGTACTTAAGTCAGTGGCAAATGCATTTCAGGTGATGCCTTCTGTTTTGCCAATTGTCTTTATTTTGGTGTTGATTGTGTTAAACCTCCCCATCCTTGATACAAGTAGTAAAAGCGGACAAAGAAATAGAGCACTAAGAGCAAGCATAATTTAGTTTAGTGCCATGATTTGCCCTTCGTTTTGCATAACTCAAACCTTGCATGTTTTGGGTAAATTTATCTGATATGCAGTTTAAGGGTCATTTCCTTCCCCTGCATTCAGTAAAGTTTCGTATCTAGTAAGATAAGAGGAAGATAAGGGATAGCATATGAAGCCAAACCGAGATCTTCTGGGTAGAGAGAAGCTTTTGATTTGAATTTGGTTGCACATTGGTGGAGATTGGTTGCTCTTTGTGGCTACAACTTCCTTGCAATGGAATCAACTGATGATTCTTGGTGATGGAATGTTCATAGACCCGTGATATATATGAGGGTTCTAGACTGGACCTGGATTCCTTAATTTTCTGATAAATATAGTGCTGCCCTTGATGCAAGGCCTAGTTTTGTCGCTGCTTATCTACTAGCTACATGGAGAATAACTAGTATCATTCAAGTACGCATATATTCCTCTTGGTTGCATGCATTGGCGTTTGATGAGCATGATGGGAGTGTTGACTCATATAAGACTAGGACATTTAAGCTGTATAAGCAGATGTACAACAAGTTTATTGGATATCCATATAAACTTTGATAGCAAGACGGAAATTAGGCTATGAAGACTAAGGACGCAAATGATGCAAATCGATAACGTGAGGAATTTTAGATGAACCAGCAACCTTTAGATTTTAACATGCGTGGTCGTTAGAGATCTTACCTTAGTTACAAATTGACAAGGTAAAGCTGAAGTCGTTTCCATTGTCTGTTTCTAGATTTTTAAATCTATCTGTACAGGCTTCGTAACTTTTGGGTTGAATTTCTTCTATGACTTACCATCAGGTTGAAAACGCTCTTGGGGAGTTATTCTTTCGAGAAGTCAGTGCAACTGCTGGTGCTGTCACAATCACTTGCCTCATGGTCTGTCCATTGCTGTGTTCATGGCTTCGGCAATAGTCTCATATTATATTTTTGCATGTGTTCTTTGTTTGTGTATTATATTTTATTGTAAAGACAAAGATGCCATTGGGCGTAAAAATCTCTTAGTCGTGGGTATATAATCTGTTTTTTCATGAAAATATCTTTGATATCCTAACTTTTGGATTCACCTGCATCAGGTTGCAAATCTTGTAGGCTTTGTGATTGGACCATCTGGAATCAGTTGGTTAATTGCTCGATTCCTTCATAAAGAAGGTATATCCCAATATTGCCACCTTTACAAAAGCTAAACATGCATCATCTGTAAAGATTAACTTTCTTTTTTGGTGATAGTGCATCATTAACCATGTTACTGTATACATCTCCTAAGATTGTTGTTCCGGTGCTCATTACATTTCAGCTGCATTTTTGTCATCTAGAAATAGGGTCTCAAAGACAATGTATGCGGTCCTTGTGTGGCTTCTAGATAAGAATGAGCCACCTTAGGGAGCACGGGTACAATGTTAAGACATTCTTCAAACTGCCAGCCTCTCCAAGCATTCTGCATGAAATGCAAAAGATTTAGGTGCAAGCGTTCTGCATGAGAGACACAAGTTTAAGGCCAACTGGACCATTTTAATTGTACTAGCTACCATTGTTTCAGTTTTCCATTCTACACAAAAGTAGTATTGAAGCAAGCTCCATTCTGGGTGAGCACTTCACAAGATCCAAGTCTGTTGATGCTTTGTTGATGGTTAACCCAGTGCTAAAGTGGTTTTGAGCTCATTTTTCCTCTCCATGGGCAATTGAAACTGCAACTAGAGTCTGGGAGGAGATGGATGGATGCTGCTATAGTGGGCAAGCAGAGATCGTCAGCAGCTTCTGATTTTGCAGTGCTCTTTTAGCATCTAAGACATTCAGCCAATTTTGTCCTTTCATGTCACTATATATAGCATATTGATGACACGTCTCTTTTTCTTGAACTTGAACGATTAGTTCTTGCTATTTGCGGAGCTGTTATCTCATCTTTGGTTTCACTCTCTTTTCCTTATTCCCTCAATTTTGGAGCTGCGGGCATTGATAGAGTATTCCGTCTTGCAGGATGGCCTATCCTTGTTGGCATGTTCTTGACGTTCTATGTGGGGACCAAGGTAAGTTAGATATGTACTTATCTTTGCTATCAAATGGAAAAAAGTGACAGAGTGACCTATTTCCCTATTTTGCAGCTCATGTTTCATATCCAGGACGCCAAACGGAAAGGACGGTGAATCAGACACCATGATTTGAAAGGGTTGTACTCAATTGCACCACTGCACAGTAGGATTGTTTAGCAATGGATCACGGAGAAGAGCATTGATGAAATTTCTTGACATACTGGCCTCAGCATCAGAGGTAACTTGGAGAGGCATTCTATGACTACTCTCGGCACTTGGTGGGAGAGTCGGTTTGTTAGCCTTGTATGGACTGGTAACCCTTCAATGCTCGTGAATGGTGGTGGTGCTGCTGAGAACTATTTTTGTATAACTTTGTTTCATCCTAGTCAATTGATTGCAATGTAAGATATAGTTATCTATGCAGCACGAACAAATCAGAAACAGATGCACATGAAAATGAGATCTGTCAGTTCTCTCTTTCAACATTTAGTTGTATGAAATATCGAATCAAACGGGTAATAAGGCCATTTATTTTGGGTCGAAGTATTAAGGCCATTTATGAAGAACTTTTTCCTGCACAGGAGTGTCTATGATTTATATAATCCATATGTATATTTACATTCGGCATCTATGTAATGATTGACGTTATTTGGTATATGAACTGTGAAGTGTGAACATCGTCACCTTTCGGATTAGGCTTGAGCCCAGACGAAGTCCACGGTTAAGTGTTTACAGGAAACTAATAAGGCTTTATGCATAGAGGCCCACCATGTGGCAGGAGCCTATTACACAGGACGGGAAAATTAACAAAACAGTTATAAATTTGTTATAATTGTGCCAATTTAGTCTTAAACTATTTTACATTTGTGCCATCAGTCCATCCGGTCACTTTTGGCCGGCTAGCACTAACGTAGAATCAATACTGACATGGCAATTTTTTAATATTTTATAGTATCGAGATCATTAAACACTTAGTTTGACAAAATTTATAGTATCGAGATTGATCTATATCAATATTTTCTTCAGCAATAAAAGTAAAAGATTCATGCATCTTCTAGCCGGTATCCTCGCCGACGCGGCCGATCTCCATGCGTTGGAGGGTACCACGGTAAGATTGCATTACTTTTACTCTTTTCCATTCTACTATTGACTAGACAAACCTTTCCAAGAATCCTTCGAAGAAATGATATTGTGATGCAACTTATGTTATTATCAAAACAATGCCCACAATAGCAAATTTTCCAATGTCTGAATCGTCTTATGAGGATTCATATCGAAAGTTTTCAATGCTTACTGCTTAACCAAATTTCTTCTCGATCAATCTCTCCATCATTACTAATTAGGACAACTGCGACTCCTCTCAATTGGAATTTAAATCTTCATACTTGGGCACTTTGAGTCTCTCTTATCTAGATGAAATGTCCAATTTAGGAGGATACCTTTCAGAATATGCGAATACCAAGCTTTACCATTAAATAAATGCATGGACCAATATAGTAAGACACGGGTAAAAAATCACGGGAAATAAACTTGGTAGAATTTAACTTTGATACGATATTAGAAAATCTAGAGACGATAGTTAAGTCTTTTTCTTTTGGGTTAGATACGATAGTTAAGTTAGGTTAGGTATTTTAATATGGGAAAAGTGCTGAATAGTCTTAAACCTTTGGGTGGTGCCAATTTAGTCATAAACCTATTTTTGCCAATTGAGTCCTAAACCTTTTGATATAGTGCCAATTCGGTCGGCCGATTTTACTACGTGGACGTCGGCGCGCGACGGTCACCGCGCGATGTGACAAAATTTAATAATATTTTAATATTTTTTGAATTTTTTTTCTTCTCCCTCTTCCTTCGCGCTCGCCCGAGGTCGAGCCTCGCCGTGGCCGGCGTGGCTCGCCCGAGGTCGACCTTGCCTCGCGTCGCCTCTTCGGCGGCGGGAAGGAAGAGGGAGAAGAAAAAAATTCAAAAAATATTAAAATATTATTAAATTTGTCACGTCGCCAACTGGCCGGCTGGTAATCCGCCAAAGATTTTGGTTAGATACGATAGTTAAGTTAGGTTAGGTATTTTAATACTGTATATATAAGAGAAGCCCAAAAAAAAAACAATAGAAGGGGAACAAAAGAGAAAACTCCATGACCCAAAAATACAAATACATTCAAAGGAGAAAGTAAAAAAAGTTACACAGCCCCCAAAAACGAAGAACAGGGAAAGAATCAAGGAATTGACTATGGTCGGCCATTGGAGCTTGGATGTATTCTCTTCTTTGTCTCTGCGCTCTGCATGGCCCCCGACGCGGTTTTCACGATTGTGTGAGGCTAGGCAAGAATTGCAAAAGGCCAATTTTACATGATTAACAAAACGACGTTACCCTTTTCGTGTTTTGGCTCTTTGGTGGACCTCTTTTTTCCGTCTATTTTGACTCTCCTTTGCAACGTTGTCACACAGTTCTGCTATTCGACCTCGGTCAAGATCTGCATGTTTAGACTCTGTCTGGCCATGTGCGATTTAGGGGGTCAAAGATGTGAGGAACCCATTTCATATTAGTGGAGGGTTCTAAATCGGTGCGACGAACACTAGCGTCATTCACTTTCCTAGAAGCGTCCTCGCAAAAATGCTGATTCGACTAGTGGCATTTGTACCATGATCACTGTGATATGCATGTAAACGAAACCCATGCAGAGCATTAGACATGCTCTCGTCATCCTCCTCCACTCTTTATATCCACTTGCACGAAAGATACAAGAAACTCCGTGTAGGACCTCTCTCTCTCTCTTGCTCGCTCGCCAGCCATCTTTTTATAATATTCCACCATAGTTTGACCTCTCTTCACACTATATATACATGCACATTGTGCATGCATTGCCTCACACCAAGCTCAGAACATCTCAGAAAATCAAATCTCAGCATTCTTAGCTCAAGGCATATATATCCACTTCATTCCACTCTTTTCCTAACAATGGTCTTTCTGAACAAAACCACCTTGTTCCTGATGCTCCTCACATTATGCATTGTGCCAACCTTTGTACGAGGACAAGGTACGAGAGTAGGGTTCTACTCGAGTTCGTGTCCACGTGCCGAGGCCATTATTAGGTCGACGGTTCAGGCCCAATTCCGGTCCAATCCCACCGTGGCTCCAGGGCTGTTGAGGATGCACTTTCACGACTGCTTCGTCCAGGGATGCGATGGTTCGATCCTCGTCAATGGGCCCAATGCTGAGAAAACGGCACCTCCGAACCGTTTGCTGAGAGGATATGAAGTGATCGACGACGCAAAGACCCAGCTCGAAGCTGCCTGTCCTGGCGTCGTTTCTTGTGCTGATATTCTTGCTCTTGCCACCCGTGATTCCGTTGCTCTGGTATTTAATAATCCTCTACTTCCAATATTAGAGATCTCCGATACAAGTGCAAACCAATGTGTGGATCAATTTCATTCACTTCCACGCAAATCTTGGCAGCAGCTACACGATTGATATCTTTTAGCTGCGACCAGTTTAAAATGCCGAGTCTTCAAATATTCGAGACATTTTGAATGATGTGATTCATAAAATTCAATGCAGACGAATGGACCGAGTTGGGCTGTGCCAACGGGACGCAGAGACGGACGGGTCTCCTTGGCATCAGATGTTACAAATTTGCCAAGTTTCGTCGATTCAGTTGATGTGCAAAAGAAAAAGTTTGCTGACTTGGGACTGAACACCCTTGATCTCGTTGCTCTTGTTGGTGAGCATTACAATTTGTCCCCATTTCCATTTACTATTCTGGAATGTAAAAGTTGGCAAACCGAAATGTGTTAATATTACAGCACGTCCAAACCTAGTTATATTTCTCCTGTGTGCTGGTGTATCAAAAGGGATACACGGAGTTTCTTTGTATTTGACCAATACGTGATACAGGAGGGCACACCATAGGAACTGGAGCTTGCCAGGTCTTCAAGTACAGACTCTACAACTTCACCACTACTACCTCCAGTGGAGCTGACCCCTCCATTGATCCTTCCTTTGTTTCTCAACTCCAGTCTCTGTGTCCACAAAACGGCGACGCCACGAGACGCGTCGCCCTCGACACCGGCAGCCCTAACCGTTTCGACACATCCTTCTTCGCGAACTTGAGGAGCGGGAGAGGAGTTCTGGAGTCCGATCAGAAGCTATGGACCGATGCCTCCACGAGAACCTTCGTGCAGAGCTTCCTGAACGGCAGCGGCCCGACCCGGATGGACTTCAACGCGGAGTTTGCTAGATCGATGGTGAAGATGAGCAACATCGGTGTGAAGACGGGGTCTGATGGTGAAATTAGGAAGATATGCTCCGCCATTAATGCATGATTCAGATCATCGGAGACTATCGTATCGAACTTCAGTATTGCAGGGTTATACGTTGGAACCGACGTAAGCTGACACATGGCGCGTCCTATTGATTTTAGAAGTGGATAGGTTGACTCAAGATATAGAAAGAAATACGCAGTACTTTCTCATTTCAATAAAATTTGATGGCTATCGTCTCCAAAATGAAATCCTGACCATGAATTTCAAAAGATTTCTTATCTTCTTGCGGGGATTTCTGGCGACATCTGATTATTTATATAAAACTAGATGTTGGCTTTGAATAAATAACTGTATAAATAAGAACAGAAAATGATAGTGACATATGTACTTTCACGTTGATCGGATGGACTAGTTATCGACAATAAAATATTCTAAATGCTAAATATATTTTTGACTAGTATTTAATACGTAATAACATATATGTCTCATTCAACATCCCTTTTTTATTCGCGGAGCAAATGTCGAATGATTTCTTAGTGGTAAATTTGAAATCTTTGACAATCTTCCTTCTTCTGTAGAAGCATTCAATACAAAGACTTAATTTCTATTTGAATTCAGAAAACAAAATCTTATGTGGTAATATCGAAAACCTATGTGGCGTTTTTAGAGACCTTAAAATTTGTTTTAGAATGGCTTCAAAAATATGCATTCTTTTTATTTAAGCTTATAGATATAAAAAAAAAAACTTAGTTTAAACTGAGAATTTATATAAGACAATTTGTTTTGATGATATTTATCTTTATATCAAACAAAAGAATGGAATAAATACAAAATTTATTTATTTGAAGTTGGTTATAAAATTTAAAAATCAACACATACCTTTAATTCAAGTAAGTTGTGAATAAAAGAAAAGCAATTAAATGTGTTACAAGTGACAACTAAATATGTTTAACACGCTAACGTTCAAATACGGTTTTTTTTGGTCGAAACATTCAAATGTGGTTAACATAACATAAATATCACATTGTTTTTTTTTATAGGAAAAATGACACAAATAGTCTTTAAACTTTTGTCCAATGTGCAATATGATTCCTAAACTTTTAATTTGTTGAATGTGGTCTAGAAACTTGACCCAACATGCAATGTGGTCCATGAACTTTTAATCTGTTCAATGTCGTCTCAAAACTTTTAGTACATATTCAATTTAGTAACTGAACTATATGAAAATGTTCAACATAATCCCTGAACTTGAACTTAATCTTTCCATTATTTCAAGTTCAAGAATTACATTGAAAATTTTCATATAGTTCATATTAATTGTATGAAAATTTTCATACAATTAACATGTGTCAATAATTCAGGGAGCACGTTGAACAAATTAAAAGTTCAAGGACCACATTACATATTGTGTCAAAATTCAGGAATTATTTGTGTCATTATCCATTTTTGATAAATGTTGCCATGTCATTATCTATATAGACGAGTACCACGTCGCATTGCCCACTGGCAATTGTTCATACCCACTTTATAGAGAATGCAACAAACCATTTTCTATAATAAAGAGAACGCTTTCCCAGCAATTTAAAATCCTATTTGCCATCGTTAAAGATATTTTAGCATTATATATTTATAAAACGGTAGTTGGTCAGTGATGGTGACAGACATACTGAATATATAAATATTCCAGACTCACCCAACTCTTGATTTTTCACGCCCATGATGTAAAACTTCCTCAAAGAAATGCGATTCAAATTTCAAACAAGCTGAAGCAATGTGGCAAAAAAATTCAGAACTACATAACATCCTCGCTGTACAAATTTCAGGACCAAAACTCGACTGCCGCTTCCTAAAGGACTTTCATGATCAAATCAATCTTAGATTCCTAGACCTTACATAAATACTCGCCAGAGCAGAAATTGACGAGCCAAAACTAACCATTGGCTCTGCCAAAGCTCTGTCGCACACAGTAGTTGCGAACCGAACCGAAAAATCGAACCGAGAATTTAACGAATCGAGCAACCGAAAATTTCGTGCATTTTGGTTCGGTTTCGGTTCGGTAATGATAAATAACCATCCGTTTTTTATCGGTTCGGATTATTTCAGTCGCGGTTTATTAACCGAACCGAACCAAAAGTTAAAACCCATGCTCGACGCTCACCACTCCCAAAACCCAAAACTCGAAATTTCCTCCTCTACACGTCCAGCACACCACCGCCGCCGACGGCTCAGCCCTGCGCCACGTCCCCCACCCGAACAAGAATTGCACGTCGTCCGGCGAACACCGACGGCGGCGGCGGCGACGCCGCATGCCCGGGACGTAAACTCCTTCACCTCACCCGAAGAGACCCCTACCTCGCCGATGGACGAGGAGGGCAAGGTAAGGAAGTCCAAGAGGTTGGCCGTGACTCGCCTCTTCATGCGCTTCATCGGCCTCCCGGAGACAACCATGGTCCCGATATCCCACGGGAGTTCACCATGGTCCCCAAGTAGAGGAACTCGGGCTGGTTCCGAGGTCCTCCTCCGCATGAGCGCGAGCGTTCGCCTCGGCATTGCCCTAAGCAAATCACCGTTCGTGGCGTCGAATCTTTGGGTCTTGGCATTGTCGGTGAAGTCCCTGGCTGCGACGCGACGGCGAAGGACGAGGAGGGCGGCCACCAAGAGGACGAGGGCGTAGAGAGTGACGACGATGGCGACGGAGGAACAGGATGGGTTCGGTTTGTGGGACTATAGAGAGAGAGAGAGTGGGTGAGGTCGATCGAGAGAGTGGATTCACCTAAGATTCTGCCGAACCAAATAAAAAAGCAAAAAAAAAAAAATAAAGAGGAAGAAACCGAAAATCGAGCCGAACCAAACCGAACCGAAATCGATTTTTCGGTTCGGCCTTCGAGCAAAATTCAGCCTTCGGTTTGAGCAAGATTCGGTTCTTGTTCAAGGGTGCACTCCTGTCGGTTCGGTTCGGTTCGCTCATTTTTCAAGAAACCGAACCGAACCGAACCGCTGACACCCCTAGTAGTAGTTACATCAATCTGCAAGCAAATAGTTCATCGCTAGTCTAAGGCTACGCATGTAAGCAACATTCTGCGTTAATCGATTCTAAAGAAATTATTCTTTTTATTCCCGTGCAAATAATTTCTAAGCATTTGAAGGCGTTTGGTAAGCCCAAAATTTATGTTCTTAGAATAGAAAAAGAATAGAAATGCGTTTGATAACTGCACAAAATTTCTTTTTATTAATAATATTTGAATTTTTTAATATTTATTTCTTTCTTTACCCTTCCTTTCGGGCCATGGTCGGCGCCAGACGCGACCACCATAGGCCGGGCCGCGAAGCGTCGCGGCCCTCGCCATCGCCAACCCTAGCGACGGCGAGGTCGAGCCTCGCCCATCCAAGGTGAGGCCGGCCTCGCCGTCGCCACCCAGGCGACGGACCTAGGTGGCGACGACGAGGTCGGCCTCGCCTTGGCTGGGCGAGGCCGCGAGCCACCCTCGCCGCCCGACCTTGACCGGCTTGGCTGCCGGCGGGTGGCGAGGCCGAAGAACAACAACAACCAAAAAAAGAAAAAAACCAAGAAAAATCGGTTACGAAAAAATTGTTCCGGAATCAAGCTACTTTTTTTATTCTTGATTCGGTTTCAAAACTGATTTTGGGCACAATTTTGCAAAAAATTGTGCCCGGGCACAAAATATTTAACAAACGGATTTCTGTTCCCAAACTGATTCTGGGAACAAAAGAACAGAATCAGTTACTATTTAGCAAGTTGCCAAACAGGCCCTAAACAGGCCCTAAAAGAGCAGAAGGCTTTACTTTAAATTTATTGGTGTATCCATCCATAGATCAACAACTTCTCCATTGTGGTCCACCTCTCAATAGAATTCGCAATTCTTCTCTCCTGCTCAGATAGAATAGTAAAACCCCCTTCTCTTAACAATTCCCCCTGAGACAGAGATCCGTGACCAAAAAAATACTGTCCAGCTCAAGTGCATTTCTGTGCAGGATGAGGTAGTTATTCATCCACAATTCTATCTATCTAACATAAATTGAGTATCTGGAATACATATGAGGAACCACTGCTCGAATTGTTCAAACTATCCTATCCAGCAACAACAAATAAAGAAATTACCATTCAGCAATGATGAATTCTCCATGAAAGAATTGTCGATTAACAAGAATTTTGTATGACCAATCAGTAAATTACAGATTTTCAAATACCACAAATTAACGACAACTCGTCTTTCCATCACTCCTTTTTACGGACCACAAATTCATGGTAACAATAATCATCCTTCAGCCTAGCTCACAGATCAGTAAAATATCGATCTCACAGTTCACAAGAATACGATGACCAGTAAATGGATCTCATTTTATTCCAGAGTTAAACTGAATTCTCACGGAAACGCTCTTGCACAAAGTGGAACAACAAACATGTCATTGCGAAAATCAAGTAGATCAAGAACATAACAGTGTGAGACAATAGTCCAGAAGCCTTTCTCCCCTTTTTTTCTTGCTGAAAATCAAAATGCATTCATCCAATTAGAGACCAAACTACATGGAATAATAGATTCTTTAACCCCCCACCGACCTAACGGAACAAGAAAACAAGTCAAAAGTAAACCAACAAAGGAATTAGTGAAAGCCCAATTGCACAAGGAATGAGCTACCCCATTCATATCCCTCTGAACCCCATCCATGGAGACAATTCCCTGGGACATAATATTCAGAAGACCTTATCATAACTTAGAAGGCAACGGTGCCTTTTTGGAGAAGATAAACAGTTAGGTTCTCTTCAGAACTGAATCAGAAGAAAAGAGACAGGCGGATCTTCTAGTATTAGACTATAATATATATATAAGGTGCGAGGAGCAGCATCCACGAAAAATTCATAGCATAGGGACGATATTATTTACAAGGAAGGACCTACCCTCCAAATGATGGATCAACACAAATAAACATCAAATAATCAACTTTATAAGCAGCAAATGGCATCAATTTGCTAAGAAACACGTAACCAATAAAAGGAAGAATAACCCAGCACATTGGCATAACAAAAGGACAATCCTCACATAGCATGACAACTAATGATGGACAAAAAGAGTCAAGTACATATGTTTCAGGGGTTACAGACAAAACATTTCGGCAAGCATCAGGGAAGTGCATCCAAGTACGGAAGAAGATTGCAAACTCTCTAGAACAAAATATAAGGGGCAGAACCCCATTCATACGGATCAGCAGATGAACTTTTCACCTCTATCAATACAAACGTACCAGTTCAAGAACCTACACATGATGCTCTGTGAACTATTTGATTTTGAATTGTCTATACAACAACATCAAACACTAGCAAAAGTAAACCGCGCACCAAAATAAACATCACTTGGACACCAAAAGAATCTCAGGTTTCTTAGCTTTGCTCGGCGTGTTAGCATTTGAAGATGCATTTGCAGCCGCCGCAGCTGCAACCGCTTTCGCAGCCTCGCGTGCCCTCTTGTCAAGCTGAATGAGACTCCTCGCAGCCAAGATTGCCTGGGGAACCAAATCATGAGAAGCCCTCGCGTATAAACTCCTGACCGCAACAGAAGCCGCGGCCTTGACTTCCTCTGCATTCAAAGGAGCCAACAAACAGTGGCCCAAGATCCTCAACACAGGTTGCAAAAGCTCCCAAGGGAGCGGGATTCTTGCACCCTTTGGCTCCAAATTCACACCATACTCTTCAATTGCCAAGTTCCTAACTTCCTCCACAACCCCATCAATCTCAATCTCATCCTCCATGCCATTCCCATCCTCCAAAGCCCTGAACCCATCAACTTTTTCCTCATCACCATCAAACTCCCTCCTGCAAGAGCAATCGTACCCCGCCCAAGCTGCCGCGAACTGGCAAAGCTCGAGCTTTGACCACGAGGGCATCTGAGAGATCTGCTTATAATAACAATCCAGAGCTATTCCCACGATCGCGGCCCTTTTTGTAGACTTGACCGCGACCTGCGGCTCAAGGGGCGGCCACAAAACCCCGGCAGAGGCACGGGACGGCGGCGCAGGGGAACGGGTGCGCGGAGTGTGGTAGAGAGAGGGCTGGGAGAGGTCTGGGATCGCAATCAGCGTGGGTTTGCCTGCGCGGGCCTTGCATTCGGAGGAATAAATGGCAAGGAGGACGGCCTCGAAGCCGGCGAGGGAAGGGGAGGGATCGGAGTGGATGCGGGAGAGGTAGAGACCAGAGAGGAGGGGCAAGAAGGAGAAGACGACGAGGCGGAGGTGGGGATCGGAGGAGAGGAAAGTGTCGTAGAGCCAGTGGCAGAGTGGGTCCGAGCCGGAGCCGGAAAGCGGATCGGAGAGGGCGGAGGAGAGGGCGGAGTAGACGGGCGAGGAGGAGAGGAGGGAGAGGGCGGGGCGGTCGGAGTCGGTGAGGGAGGAGAGAGGTAAGGAGAGGATGGAGGAGAGAGACTCGATGCGGGCGCGGGCCTTGGAGATGGACTCCCACCAGGAGTGCATCGGGTCGTCAGTGCCGGCGGCGGCGGCGGCGGCGGCGGTCGCGACGGCGGTCAAAGAGTTCGGAGCGACGGTGGAGGCGGAGGAGGAGGAGGAGGAGGAGGAAGGCGAGGTGTTGCGCTGGATGTCCATGGCCGTTCTTCCGTAGGAACTGACGAAAATGGCGTGAGAAGAGATCGGAGATGGGACTGTGGAGTTCGGGCACTTGAGGACGAAGACGATGATCGACGATGGTTTTCTTCTGCTGTGTTGGATGACTTGAATCCAGTCGGGTCGGGGTGTTTTCCTTCGGGTTCGGGCCATCCGGCCCTCTGCAAAGGCCCAATGGGCTAACCTCAGGCCCAAAAGGAAAATAACGGGGCTGACAATTCGTGCAGTTTTATTGTGTTAGTATTGATTGTTCGTGCCTTTTGGTGGTGGCGAGCGAGCCAGGGCCACGGTGCCGGCGGTGGGTTTTGATCATATCATGGTGGCGTTTCGGGGCGGCAGCGGCAACGAGTGGCGGGCGGCGGGAAGTGTGGTTAGAAGAACTTCTTTTATCGGGGTTTCTAAAGTTGAAGATTTTGACCATTTTAATGTTATTGTCGATATAGCATTATATTAAGAAGACACATAAGGTACTAATCTAGACATTCAACAGCTATCTGCATAATATTCGGCTTGCATGTCTATCGAGTTTGATGTTGTATTGGCCCTATTGGACCATTGTGCACTAGAGCTATAGAGTAACCTTCGAAAAGGCATTCTCGAGACATGGTACCCCTCATCGTGATCAAACCACACTGCCAATTCGATATGAGTTCCTTTCAATGTGAGTTGATCAAACCACACTGCCAATATTTGTCCTCTTAATATTCCATCTGGCTCATTAAATATGAGTAAAAAAGAATGGACTTGAAAACCCTATTGCCACTTCCTCCAAGGCTCCAAGTCGAGAATTGGGTTTTAATGCAAAATGTTTTAAGATTAAATTTGTTTAATTGAAAATATTTAAGATTGTGTTGGTACTAATATAATAGTTTTAAGATTTTTTTAGTATTTTTTCCTTTAGACTGGACTTGGATTGGAGTAGTTATGAATCACATTAATTGCACCACATGAAAATGGGTTTATCCTTTGACTCGCATGTTGGTCACCTCTAGTCACCCTCTTCGAATGGACATATTTAAGGTAATCACTTGAAATTAAGTTCATGCGATGTGATTCACTACGTACATAGCAAAAAGCCACACAAAATCTTAACTGTGTCCACCGTGACATATTTACCTAAAATTTTGTAAAACAAAAAATCCCAGGCTTGTATCTATGTGATACATTTACCGCCTTTCAAAGTTCCGTCAATGAAAATCGTTAAAAATCTGATTATATGAAGGCCAGAAAAGAAAATGGTGTTGACACGACACTCACGCGGCTTAAGTGAAATAAAACGACGTTATTTTAACTGGAAATTAATCTGACGAAATCTTGGTTGAGGATAAATGTATCGCATAGCTACATATTTAGAGTTTTTTGTCATAAGAAAAAGTTTAGGATAAACGTGACACAACGGGTATAATTTGAGTTGTTTAATTCCAAAATAAATGTGTTGCAAATGTCATAATTTGAGTTTTCTTTTTCTTTTTTATGGTTTTTTCCCTTCACAAAGGAAAAGAACTTGGGAATCTCCGTCCCGGCCACTCCGGAGCGTGAGTGTGTCTCTCTGTCATGCATTCGTACAAGCAGTGGGCGAGCAGAATGTTGTTCTTGCCTACTCTGATCTAAAATCCCAACACCAACACAACACAACACAACTTCTTCCTCGTTTCTCTCGCCCAATTTCGCCTTCATAAATCCCCCAAATTCATCGCTCCCACTTCCTTCCATTCTCTCCTGGGTTCCATCCTTCCGCTCGTCTTTGTCCGACCCATCATCGCCCACGATGGCAGCATCGGCTCTCCCCGGTTCGTTGCTCTCTTCTTCCTCTCCTTCGTCGTCTTCTTCTCTCGCTCCTCGCCGATCGACTGCATTGACGCCGGTTCCTCCGGCCTCCGTTCAGCTCCGTCCCGGACTCAACGCCGCCTCGAAGACGATGGCGGCGGGCCGCCGTTTCGCGGCTCGTTGCTCGCTGGGCGCAGCTCAAGGTCCCAAGGACGACACTCCCATCGAATTGAGTATGTTAAATTTTCGAGCTTTTTTACCCCTTCTCGTTATCGAGTGTAGCGAGAATCGCGATTGCTTTTCAGAGATCATGTTGGTGACCGTTGCGTTTTCGATTCCGGCGCAGGATATGCTGCATTTCCGACGGTGATGGATATCAACCAGATTCGCGACATCTTGCCTCACAGGTAAAACGCGTCCTTACGCGGCTTTCGGTTTCTCCGAGGAAAAAGAACGGCTTTTTTGGTCGCCGTGTCTCTTTTCATGTAATAAAGCTTAGAACTCCTTTTCCTTTGTACTATGCTCTAGGTTTCCATTTCTCCTAGTGGATAGAGTGATCGAATACAACCCTGGAGTTTCGGCTGTTGCTATCAAGAATGTGACTATTAACGACAACTTCTTTCCTGGGCATTTTCCCGAGAGGCCAATCATGCCTGGTGTTCTCATGGTCGAGGTAAAACCCTCTACTCTCTTGTGCCTTTTTGTTAAGGTTTATCTCTTACTTTATATTTCATTGAAGTACTGGCGAGATATTAAGGTGGTTCGTATTAAGTCGAATGAAATTTCTTCTGATGTGTTGCAATGCCGAGTAATTGGTGAAGGCATTAGATAGGTGTTTGGCTTTCTTTCTCAAAGATGATGTGGTGTCTTCAGTCCAAAGTCGTTCTTGTTCCGACAGTCCTTGGCATGAAGTGCCAATTATCCATGTCGGGTTTCTTGAGGTTGGGTTTTCCTTGAAGATAATGCATTAACCACCAGCAAATCTTATATCCGCATACCCCTATTGGACAAACTTTATTTCGTGTTATAAAATGATGGATCCACTTAACATTGCCTAATGTGCAACATGAAGTGTCCAAGTTCCTAGTGGAACCGTATCAACTTTAACATCCTCGGTTATTGTCGTTGGTATAAATTTCTCGGTCTTGCTTAGCATTGCGTTTATAATTTGGAAGTAAAGGAAGACAGTAGTGGCAGCCTGGCTGGAGCTTGGACCTGGCATAGGAAACCCACTTCAGTGAGCCTATCATCTGCTTTTCATATTACATTTTGAGCCCTTACAAAGAGTGCTTCACTATCTCAGCCAAGAGTAACATTTCTTACTACATCTCTGTTACTGATCATGTTACTATCACCCGAGCAACCCAAACTTTAGCAACCTAAGGGTAAGTTTAGCAAATTCTCTTCTAGTAAAGGAATTAAAGTGTAGAACCTTAGCATAATTTCTCCTGAAATATCTCTGATTTTATACATGACCGTTCCATTGTCAGAAAGTAGAACATCATTTTTAACAAGATGCCAGTAGCTATCCTTTGCCCTGACTGTCTCTCTGCTGGGAGGTTTTGCAAGTCTGGAAGAGCATGTTTTGTTCCAGATTCTACAGGAATTAGTCATTGGTCAAGCATAGGCCATAGAAATTACTTAGCTTCTATAGGAATTTTAAATGGACTGAACATCTGATGACTTTTGTACTATAACAAATATCGGTGGACTTGTCAAACCTTTGGTTGGTGAACTCTGAAATTTTGTTTAGGAATTGTCTCGAAATTAGAATTTCATGATTCTTCAGATGTGAGTTATTACAAGCTTCATTACTTGGGTAAAGATACTTCCATTTTTGGGAGGTTTTACATCCATGAAGAAGACAATAATACATTTTGTTGGCTGTCCAGGCAATGGCACAGGTTGGTGGCTTGGTTATGCTACAGCCAGAGGTGGGAGGCTCTCGTGAGAATTTCTTCTTTGCTGGAATTGACAAAGTAAGATTCCGGAAGCCTGTCATTGCAGGTGACACCCTAGTTATGAGGATGACACTTGTCAAGCTACAGAAGCGCTTTGGAATTGCAAAGATGGAAGGGAAAGCTTATGTTGGGGGGGAAGTGGTCTGCGAGGGCGAGTTTTTGATGGCTACTGGCACTGGCAGTGAATAATCAGTCGTTTTTGAGTGATCTCTTGTCATGGCTACATCTTTAAGATAATTTAGCCCATCTCTTGTTCTGATTTCTGCGAGTAAAACCCAGGAGAGACTCCTTTTGAAGGGAAACTTATCGATCATTGAGAACTTACTTTTCCTCCTTTTTCTTTGGTGCTTTTGCCAGCAGAAATTTTGTTTTGTCTCTATTTTGATATGGGGTAGGTATTCATCATGATTGAGCATTAAGTAATAATTTCGCAATTAAGACTTATCAGCTTTATCTGTTTCTTACTTTCTAAGTTTGGCTGAGATGGTGTACGAAGATTCTGTCAAAATTTAGTCTCTACTAGTTTTGTAGCCACCTAGATGTCATGGCCAACAACCAAGGATCTTTGCCCTTTGAGAAAATCTGCCAATAGGTTTTGGCTTTGAGGCAGAAGCAGCATTCTTGTGGGGTGACTCCTGTCAGGTATGCAACTAATATTTCGTATACGATTAGGGCATGCCCATGAGAAATTGCGCTTATTTCAGTATCTCCACGATCAACATGGCCATCTGCCCATTTTGCGTCGATGACATCCTTTGCAGTCCCATCCTCTCATTTTTAGCTCAGTCATTCCTGTTATATTCATTTGTCACATTGGCCGGTCCTTGTTTCGTCCTTTCGGATAAACGGACTTCATTCGGCTGAGATGTTGCTCAGCATAAGTAGGTAGTTCTGTTAAACAAGCCAAGGAAAGCAACATAAAAAACAGCGAGCTAGATTTCTTTGCATTCATTATAGAAGTCAGGGTTCCTCTCCCCTCAATTTCCTTTAGCAGTTACTCACCTTCTATTGAAGTAGCATCTATTAACCGGTTTTTCAAACACCCTGCGCTGGTTCATAGTTTGAAAAGCATAGAGAAATTAAGATCATAACAAGTTCTGTTAATTTTCTGTCTCCACTTCAATTGTCATACGCCCGATTTACAAGCCAAGAGCACCGAGAGGTGTCTTTCCCTGCCCCGCCTCAAAGTAGAAAATGAGCATGGCCAGCATAGCAAGTCTCGCATGCTTGATCTCAGCAAGCTTCAGTCTCTCTAACTTCTCCCCGTCAGGAATGTACACTCCATCCTTGAGCGTGCCCGCGAGTCCCAAGGGGTCGAAAAACTTGCCTCCCGGGTATCCCTGGTCTCCGGTTGCGTTTGCAAAGTTCTCGGCCGATCTAGACCAGGGAGTAGCCCATTCCACAGACTGTGAGTCTGGGTTAAAGAAGTCCACCCATCTTTTGCTCTCGACCCATCCCATGAGCAGAAGCTGGGTTCCAAGCAGCGAGCCAAAGGAGAACGGCGCCACCGCACCCGGAGCCGCACCTGCTTCGAACCATGGGATTCCGCTCCACGCCTGGCCCACGAAAATGCCGACCACTGCGGCCATGGCCCATCTGCCGTGGATAAGCTCGGCTTCTCTGTACCACTTGAGAAACGCCGGGTCCTTCCCTAGCCCTAGTGGGTCAAATCCATAATCGCCTGGAAGTCTGCAAATTATTCATCAGTTAAGACAACCAGTGGAATGAATTCTTTTTTCCTTGAACAAACCACCGAATGCATGACCAAATCATCAGTATGCATAGATATGTGCCTTCACGGATACTTACGAGCCATCGAGCCATTCAGGGTCGACGAAGTTGCCGCCGCCTCTAACGGCAGGGATCCACGATTTCTTTGGCTGCGCAGCTGCAGCCGCTACTATCGACTTCCCAGGAGTGAAAGCAGGGATAGCCCTGGCTCCAAATCCAGCGGATAACAAGTCATGGCTTCTCTTGCCTCCAGTCAAGAAGGTCGAGCTTGAGCCTAACCCACCAACAAATGCACTGGATGTTGCAGCCATCTCTTTCTCTCTGTCTCTTTCGCGCGTGTTTCTGTGTGTCTGAACTATGAAGATGGAGCTAGCGGTACTGAGTTTCCTATTTAAAAAGCACTATATGTTTGCTTTCCCCCCCTCTGACTGGGCAATGTGAGGAGGGTGAGGGAGGGAGAATCATAAGGGAGATTTCCTATGGAGCCAAGTAGGATCACGAAATCTGAAGAGGACGGGTTGTGGATAGATCATGGACCAATGGGAACTCGAGCTCACATTGCCCATCCCCAGATGCCTTCAATTGCAATGGACCCACATAGTTGTCTCGATGGATACTGTCCCATGCGACAGCGAAAGGTCCCCTAGCCACTGCCTGCATGCGTTCAGCAGCAAAGGCTCGTTGATAATCTCTTTTGTTGGGGGATGAATAAGGTTGGGTGGATAACTAAACTCAATTCTTATATTTAGGTTGCTCCATGCATAATGTGATTCTTAATGGCTTCTGTTAGGTCCAATCTATGACCAATCACAATGCTTTGAAGAAATAGGAGTAGAGAAGACTGAACTTCTTCTGTCACGTGGGAAACCCATCTTCTTAACTTGGGTAATCAAAGGTCGTTCATTATGATGCATGCAATATGTTGAATTTTTCTTTGGATGGTTGTAACTTTTCCATCAATGACCAAATTCAGTTTTGAATATACACAGAGAGTAATACGTTTTGACCTTTTGCCAGAATGAAGTGATTGTGAAAGTTTATTAATAAATATTTTTGTTAAGAGAAAGCATATGAATGTTATTTAGCCGTGAATGACATGCTTCGGAATTGAATTAATATACAAAGTGATACGACAACTTGAATATACTTATATAGTTAAATTGATACGACACTCGTATTTAGTACTAAATGTTAACTATCTATCTAAACATCTACTTACAATCTGTGAAATGAATAATATTAAGAAAGTAATTAATCTGTTAAAACCGAACGACATTCCATGTTCTCGAAAAATCGTTACTTTACCCGCTTTGCTCAGTGGTTGAGGGGTTACTAGTTATTACTGGTCACTGATCAGTGATCGACAGTTGTCGTCGTCTCTTCTCTTTCCTTATCCTTTATGCCTCGCTGTTGGGATGCAACTGTAACTCCGAATCCACGATTGCCATGGCTGACTTTTGCTGATCGTCTCTTCTCGCACCATGCACTGACCACTCAACCCACGCGCAGCTTCAGCGGGAGTGCTGATGTGATCACGGTGCCATGATCGATTCCGCAGCGTGAAGGAGTTTCGTCATGTGGGTCTCCATGGAAGCTCGTTCTTTGAGCTTCTCTTGCTCCAGTTCTCTGTTTTCTCCATGCAGTAGCCATCGCTTTCGAATCTCGCGAAAGTGCCCTCTGCGAGTGTGTGTTCGCGAGAGGAGGTCAATCCCTTGCGTTTTCTCCAAGCCCGCGTCGCCTGGGAATTCCTCTTCTTCGCCTGAGTTTCGCCTCGTCTCCACCACAGGTTCGATAGCGAGCAGCTTCTGTGTCTCTGATGGGTTCTTTTCAATTGTTTTGAGTATTTTTGTTTTGTTTTGGTGTTGTTCTTATTGCTTTGTCTTTTGGGGGATTTTGGGCAGAGTGTTCTGATGGCAGCGTCGTTTTTCACTTCGGTGACGTGAGGGAAGCGGAGGGTGTGGACGTTGAAATGGAGGAATTGGAAGGTACTGGTGGCGATGTTGATCAAGTTGCTTCCACAAGTTTCTCCAGTGAAGATCGTAAAACGGTCTACTTGCGAGAGGTTCTTCATGTAGACCACAAGAAAGAAGTTGCAGGCGGTAACTTCAACCATACTACGAAAGAGAAAGCTGAATCCCATTCAGTAGCTGAATATTTGGGGGACTCGCTTGAACTGATTGATGATGAGACAGTTTTAACTAGAGGAGATTATCCTGGTATGGCAGAAGTAGTGTCTTTGGAAAGTCCTCAGTCAATTGCAACAACGTTGGAAGATGCTGGGTCTAATGTGGCTACAAGTGATTCCTGGGGTCCCACTCCTGATTGTCTAGTTAGTATAAATAGCGAGGGAGGATTGATGGAGACAATCGAGCAAGAACCTCCCGCTTCAATTGGCCTTTCCGAGCTTAATGATGCCGTAAGTATGGAAACCATTAGTATCAGCAAGAATGGTCTTGATGCTTCGCTTACTACTGATTTGAAGTCACATCCCACGAAGGACTTGGAAAACGTGAGTGATGTAGACGAAGTTTTGGAACTGAAGACTGTGGATGAAGATATAGCCCCAGCCCCATCTAAAGCTGACTCAATAGTTGAAGTGTCTAGTGATAGTCCCTCTGAGGAAAGTATTCAGGAAAATGTTCAAACGGATGGAACAAGTGTTCCCGATGCTGCTACTGCAATAGAAAAAGTGGATATGTCAATCAAAAGTTCGAGTGGTGAAGATAGTGCACAGATTGAGACAATGCTGGCTTATGCTTCATCAGAGGTTGAATCTTTAAAGAATGAGAAAGTTGGCAATGTTACCAAGAGTATAGCTCCAGATGTGCATAAGAGTGAAAGCTTGGAAGGGCTTAGTCTGTTTCTTGAAAGTTCCATTTCAGCACATCTTCTCCTTGATTGAATTTTTACAGTATATTGAGCCACCAGCTTAGTAAATGATATCATCTACTAATGGAAAGAGTGGAGGAGAATGGCTTATAGATTTACTTGCATAATGAGTGATTTAATTTGGATTGAGATTTAGACTCTGCTTAATTAACCATCCTTTTCTCTCAGTTGCATACTAGGATTAGAAATCCTGTGTGATTTAGTTGTCCCATACTTTGGAAATGAAGCCATAGAACCTTTGACTCATTTAGCATGTGTGAGCCCTCTACTTAGCATAAATCTTACATTTCAAACCTGGTAAAGCCTTTTGTCGATTAAGCTGGGGAGATCACTTGACGAGAGAGAGAGAGAGAGAGAGAGAGAGAGAGAGAGAGAGAGAGAGAGAGAGCGGCGGGTGAGTTGCTGCTTCTTTATTGCCAGAGTTCTGTGGAGGAAACGAGTATGTTTTTGTGGTTCATGCTTATATGTGAGCATCCATACTTTTCTGCCTTCAAACAAACCAATAGATAATAGCGCTTCAGGAGACATCAGTTTCAAAGTGTACTGTACATTCAGCTAGTTTGTCTCACTCCCTTTTTTGTCACCAAGTCCTAGTAATTATTTTGACAGCAAAGGTTGCTCTTATTTATCTATTTCCTCCTCGTGTTCAAGGAATTTAAATGATCTTGTGTGTCTTCTTTTTAGGTAGATGATAGTATGCTCTTGAATCAAGATGAATCACTTGAGCTTAACTGGCATAATATTGAACTTGGAGAAATGCCAGGAATCAGTGGGGAAGAACAGGATTCTGCCAAAAGTAGTGATGAGAGGTAACCACAGATTTTCTTGTGCCTCTTGCAGAGCAAAATTAGTTTTAAACTTTGCTATGCTCAGGTGAAATGTCTACCATGATGACTGATTTGATGGAGAAGGTTGTGTGTTTGCAAACAGTAATTTCACCATTGTCATCATTACAAAGAGTTACCATCATTAAAGAAAGAAACAAAAACATTTCCTTGTGCGGAATATCAACTATGAGAATAACTTTCATGGGAGGTTGCTAGACTGCAGTAGACGAGCCATTGTCAAAGTCTGGCTTGTACATCTTAGTGGAGTGGATAATGCATGATCTTCTGATGAAATACTGACACATTGCTTCATGGCAACTTGAAAGTATTTCAGACTGTTCATAAGTTAGGGTTGACATAATTCTGTGGTAGTTTCTCATTCTGTTGAAGTTTAGTATAGTGTGATTTGCATATTTGTGAGTAGATGAGCTTCCTTGTCTTGATATCACAGTCGCTTTTAGAGTTGCGGCAATGACAAATACCCTGGCAGAGAGCAACCAATTTTTTAACATTAAAACTTTAGTTCTAAGATAATACAGTTTCAGCATCTTGCTTCTACTCCCAAAACTTTTTTTTTTCCCGGTCTAGTTACACTCTGGTTTTATTTTTTCTTTTCCAGCAAGTTTTCTAAGGTCATAAGGTTCTGTTCTAAGAGTCAGTTTATGTTCTGTTTGATATATAAATTACGTAATATTAGATTTCAGCTCGACTTAGAGGCATGTCTATTCTATTCTATTTATTGTTTATTCATCTAAACTCTGGAGTTCTATTTTATTACCTGCGACAAATATTCAACTGCAATTTGCCTTTAGGTTTGAACTTGAGATTGTGGCTAATAAATATCCATATCCAGGGAAGAAATCTCGAGGACAGAATTTTGTCTTAATTCGGGTGCTGCTTCACTGCCACATCCCTCTAAGGTAACTATATCTCATGGACATTTGTTCCTATAATATGAGATAGGCATGAAAAATATTTTTCTTGGATGCACTATGACAGAAAAAAAAAATGAAATCAGTATAACAGAAATTCTGTTTGCCTCATTATCTCTCCCTTACCGGTATTCCAGTAATATACTGTTTCTTCTTATTATTTCCATCTTCCAACACTTGCATGGGGAATCTTGATCTGAGAGTATGGCTGCCTATGGCTATGTAAGTTCCAGCGTTAATACAAGACCTCCTTGTTATAGAGTGCTGGCAGATATGAAACCTTATTGCAACTACTATAGAGGAATTAAGTAGTGTGGAAACTGATAAGAGGAAGGAAGAGTACTTAAATCAAAGTAAGGTTCTTCTATTTCTTTTCTTTTTTTTTTCCTTGAGAGAATTTGGTTGTTATCAAGTTGAGACTTGCCTTAGAGTATCAACGGTCCCTCTCACATTGAATACCTTAGTAAATCTTTTGTGATGTTAAAAGGAGAAAATGCTTCCATATTGATAAAAGGGAAAGCTCAGGGTATCACATAACATTAAATGTCCAGTATGAAGTACTGACACTATGGTTGAATAAATAATAGCTTCCAGGTGTTGACAGGTGGAGAGGATTCTCATTTCATCACCAACAGAAGCTGGCTAGGTGTTGCTGATGGAATTGGCAAGTGGACTATGGAAGGTAAACTTTTTTACTCAGTTTAGAGGAAACTGCTAGAAACAAAACAGATTTCGATATCTCTAATGGTCTAATTTCTTGTTCTTCTTCCTTCTTTATAAATAATTGAGTGTACTGAAAAGATGCATCCGGAAATTTATAGAATGAAATTAGGAAGTATAGATTATGAAAACAGCCTTTTCAAATGACATCACAAATTCATTATGATTGCCAAGAAAATTATTTTCAATATCTGCATGAATTGACTCTAAGTTGACTTCTTGGGCTGCATGAACTTCTTTTGAAATTTTTCTCACTATTACTTAATGCTTTCAGAAGACTGGTATGAATGAACTGCAAGCATGAAGAAGCTAAATATTGACTGCCTTTTTTTCTCAGGAACTAATACTGGATTATTTGCCCAAGGATTGATGGACAAATGCAGAGAGATGGTATCAACCAGCGAGAGCAATGCCCTAACTGGTCCTATTGATGTGATATTTAGAGGTGCTGCAGCAACACGATCTATAGGATTGTCTACAGTTTTAATTGCTTGCTTTGATGGTCAGGTAATATAATTTATGTACATGCAATACTCTGATTTCAATTGCATTGTAAGCTTATTGTTGGTTCTCTCAGGGGTTTTCAGCTTCAACAATGCAGCCACAGCCCTGGGGAACTTCTACATTAAAAACTAACCTTAAAATGCTTCATGTGAATGCTGTCATCTTCATTGGGATGCAGTCAATCGTATCTTGAATCTTGGGGATATTTTAATTAGTAAAAAACTTAATATCTGTTGTTCCTTTTGAAGTAAATCTCCTATATTTTAGTCAAAGCAGAGGAGACATACACCTTGAAGGCTCTAACAATACACCTGTAGAGCTTTAGATGTGCTTTGGATAAGTGAGTTTGCAAAGCTTTAATGAAATGGTGGATGCTCTAAATAACTTTTCAGGCTGCTTTCAGAAACTCTAATCAATTTATCTTTAACCGTTCTCCTGATGACCTTTTATGGAATTTTTTGGCCCTTGCCCTGTCAAAAGCTGAAGCTGCAGTGTCTTCTATGCCACTGCTTGCAAGCTACATGTTCTCCTGTTGATTGACGACTTGAATGGCAGGTCTTGCATGTGGCCAATATAGGAAACTCAGGGTATATCATAATTAGAGATGGCATGATCTATAAGAGATCTTCTCCGATGGTTCATGAGTTCAATTTTCCCGTGCTGATGGAAGGAGGAGATACTCCCTCAGAGCTTATGGAGGTAATTTATGCTGAATTGGATGTTCCGCAATGTCATAACTGGAATTCTGAAATATGTGTTTCAGTGTATTAGAGAATAAATCCTTCTTGGAACTTAGTTGCTTCTCGTTTGTATATAGAATGATTAGGGGGAGAGAGATAGATGGCGAGATGAAACACTAGAATCTTAAAATCGTTTATCGATCAGTGTTACAGCATTGAGTTGGATGAGGGCGACGTGATTGTGTCTGCAACTGATGGTCTCTTCAACAATCTCTACGAGCAAGAGATAGCTTCAATCGTGCGCAAGTCCTTGCAATCCGGTTTAAGTCCTCAGGTACTTTGCCTATCTTAATTATGTTTCACTAAGCCTCTTTGTTGGCTGGAAACAATGGATCACTCTAAACCACACATGCTTATAGTGGTTTCACTGAGTATAAAAAATTGGATTGAATTTCTGGACATGCATTGAGGCCTGCTATGATCCTTGACCTACTTCTGGTAAACTGCATCAGATCATTGCCTTATAGTGTTATTGACTATTGAGCTCTTCACATGAGCCATTGATAGAGTTTCCACTGGAAGATATTGACTGCTTGTTCATACGTCTCTATCAGGACATAGCAGAACTATTGGCTACTAGAGCACAAGAGGTGGGGCAATCAAAATCTGCAAGGACTCCATTTGCAGATGCGGCCCATGCAGCTGGTTATGTTGGTTATACTGGTGGCAAGCTCGATGATGTTACTGTGGTCGTGTCAATGGTCGAGAAGAGATCTAGCTCTCGGTTGTAGGACGATTCTTCTCTTTGAATTAAGATGATGACAGTTCAAAGTCCTCTTTGTACTCCCGCAAGATTCTTTTTCCCGGGCTCTATTTATCTTGATCTGAGGAAAGAGTTTGCGCAATATCAATTGGAAAATGTCCAATATCATCCTTTCTTGATTCACTTCCCTGATGTTTCAGTTTCTTAGGCCAAAGATTCATCGATGAGTTCGCTTTCCATTTCTTAGATGTCTTGATCCTTTCAGGTCGAGTTAGTTCAAAGTTCAATCTTGTTATCATGTTTCCATCACGATGAGCATCAGACAAAGTTTTAGGTCGAGCTAGTTCAAAGTGCAAGGACTCCACAGGAAAGCTAAATGTCCCCATGGTGCTTGGAGGCAAACTCATGCATGGTTGCCTCAAGCGAACAGAACGATAAACGTTGATCGGGTCCATCGCGAAGATGCGCATGAGCATTAACCGGGTCAATTCACTCCTGGCATTTCGCTTTGGGTAGATTTGAAATTTCATACTTTGCGAGAGGTGCAGATCTATGACTTTCTAGATGCATACAGATTTAAAAAAAAAATGGAGGGTCACGTTGATATGCGAAGTTCAAAAGGTACTAAGAACACGCTCAACCTCATGATTAGTTGAGACTGCGAGCATGCTGTAATATATAGCGTGACATCTGGAATACGAACAGAGGGGACCCAAAAGGATAAAAAGATAAACAAATGAAAGAGGAAATGCGCAAAAGAAAAAGTTAGGACTTGGGACATTCTCATGGCGACTTGCCTCTGCAGGACCCCTCCACAAGAACATGCTTCAGAAGCACAAGGAATGGAATCATATTTGCTGTTTGGTTTGCCACTGACAACACAAGTTGTTCTAACACATGCAGCAGTTGCCTGATGATTGTTCAGAGAGAGAGAGATTGAAGCTATGCAAGTTCACATGAGGCACTAGGATTTGGGATTGAGCAAAAAGGTGAACTTGCCCGCTTTGCTTTGATGCTTTTGACTTGAAAACACAAATTTGATAAAGGGAAAGATTCCCCATAATGAAGGAGGGTCCACTCACTAGGCATCATTAATTGGATTCACGAGCTCAATCACGCCACCTTAATGGCCATTCTACATCTCTCTATGAATCGTTGCTAGTCAGTAGTCAGTCAATTGGTGGGAAATTTCAAAAAAATGTCAAAAAGCCAAAGGTCAAGCGGGTCTTCTGCTCTTTCCAAGCCAAACTCCTGTTCTCTTCTTGCCTGTTTTAATCTATTGACAGTGGCGTTCGGATCTGCACGTTAGCCTAATCATGTTTAGACGGCTAAAAGGCTTGTACGTGGTCCCTCGAGATTTCAAATAAAAGGGGGTCCTATGATGCAAGAACTTGGAAAAGCAGGGATTAGAGGTGGAAAAACGAAAAGATAGTTGCCTTAGAGATTACCCCAAAGTCATTCTTTTTTAGCAAAGAAATTTCTTCACTGAACTAAAGTCTTTTCTCAAAAGATCAATGGCAAAAAGAACAGTTCTATCTTTCCACTAAGTGCGCGGTTGATTGCACAATTTAACTTTCTTTTTATGTTACGGACAAGTCAAGATTAAGAGACTCATCAAGCGTGCGTCACAAAAATGTAATAGCGGGTAGGACCAACTAATGTATATCACAAGTCTGAGTGTTCGATGACCATCTTGTGCTACTGATTTGAAAGCATATATGAACTGTGGACCGATAAAGTTATGCACTAACAAAGTAAAGGGATGATGAAATAAGGGGTCCATGAACTTTAATCTAATACGTAATGTGGTCCTTAAACTTTTAATATATTTAATGTGGTTCATAAACTTTTGGTACATGTTCATCATAGTTTTTAAATTATATAAAAATATTCAATATCGTCCTTTCATTAATTCAAGATTAGGAACAATATTGAACATATATGAAAAATTTACGAACCACATTGAACAAATTAAAAGCTAATAGATCACATATTAAGTTATAATTCATGAATCACATTGAAAAAATTATAAATTTCAAAATTACGTTACATATTAGCTCAAGTTTAAGTATTGTTTACGTCATTTTCTTCTTAGTAAATCTAGAGTGAGTAATGCTGCTTTTTTTTTCTTGCTTGTGAGTTGTGCAGAATAAATACAATTCAAAGTTGATGTCGACTAGGCCGAAGAGAGGGCGACCGGAGTCAACAAATGCGTGAGGACCGAGGAAGGAAAAGTAAAGTGCGGTAACAGAAGCAGATTTTAGTCAAAAAAACGTGCTGAGCATATTGTTGCATTTCTCTAACCAAAATTATTTGAGATGTGTAGTTAAATATCTTCAAAGGATGAGCTCCTTCTTTCTATATGTATTCACACACATTAATGATTCTGTTAAAAGAAAAAGTCTCACAGCACTTAATAAGTACGCATCTGAAAATATTCCTAATATTTCAGTTATATTAAAAGGTACTTAACAAATACCAGGCTCTCGTTCAGTCGACCCTTTTCCTTGTATAGTAATATCAGAAGATTTTACTGAGTTAATTAAAAATATATATAGGATGTTGGTTTAGAAATCCTCGTCTCAACAAAGATGAAAAAGAACAGACAAATGCACCAGCTTTTCCGCCACGAAAGCGGTTGACGAAATTCGACAGGGCCTCTGTTCCGACTCGCGTCGAGAGGAGCAGAAGAAGAGATTCAAAAGGTGACAATTTTTTTTTTTGGCTATGAAAGAAAACCCAAAGCAGGTTGGTTAATGTTGCCTTACGGTGCGGTAGTAGAAGGGCGACGCGTATCCACATCCACACACCTGCTTGTTTTCACTTCCCCGAGCGTCGTACCTACTGCCCCACATGCCACATTACCACGCCCTCTCCTCTTCTCTCCTCTCCTCCTCCTCTCCTTAAGAAAGATGGATGGAACCCACCAAATGAGAGGGTTAATTCCAAAAACAAAGCATCAATTTTAAGTCGAGAGATAATTTTAGCCCGAATTTTTTTTTTGTCCCGTAAAAAAGCATCAATTTTAGATCGATGGACAATTTTGGCCCGAACTTTTTTTTGTCTCGCAATTCTGGCCTCAACTTTTTTTGTCTCGTAAAAAAGCACAAACTTTCACTTAAATATCAAATCTGGCTCTCATTAACTTAGAACCATTGATTATCTAACTTGGCTATTCTACCTTAATAATAAATTCACGTTGCTTGCTGACTGGATTTAAAGCAAGATTCATTGTCTTATTCTCTGAGCCACAATTTGAAGGATAAAGATGAAACTGTTCGTCTCCTTCACTTCACTGGCAAGTAAAAAATATCTTCAGATTGAATCTCTCTAGCCAGGTGTAATCTGAAACTACTCACTGCCTGTCGACAGACGCCATGGACGATATTCGTCAAGCTTACCACTATAACTTTTTTTCTCAAACAATGGCGACTTCAGACAGAAAGTCAACAGGGGATCAGATTTGGGATCAGGGTGAAAGTTGATGATTTTTTATGAAACCAAAAAAAAATCGGGGCCAGAATTATAACTCGATCTAAAATTGATATTTTTTTGCGGGACAAAAAAAGATTCGGGCAAGAATTATCCCTCGACCTAAAATTTGTGTTTTTTTTTTTTAATCAGGCCCCAAACGAGAAACGAAGTGTGAATAACATCACTACTGTTTTCCCATCGTTCCCACAGACACTGTCGGCTTGAAGTGTGAATAACATCACTACTGTTTTCCCATCGTTCCCACACGCACTGTCTGCATTCCTCTCGACTCTCTCTCCCCTTTATATAACCCAGAAAGTTTCCTCTTTTGCTTCCCTCAAGACCCTCTCCGTCACTCCTCTCTTCCTCTCTACACCGTCACTGCACTCCCTCTGCACCCCACGCAAAGAGAAGGCTAAGAGCTACAGAGAAGACATGGAAGCCACGAAGATCTGTGTCCTCCTCTTCGCCCTCGCCGCCTGGGCCGCCGACTCCGCCCACGACGCGCCGGCGCCGGCCGTCGACTGCTCAAGCCTTGTGCTGACCATGGCCGACTGCTTGTCCTTCGTCTCCAACGGGAGCACCACCGAGAAGCCGGAGGGGACCTGCTGCTCTGGGCTCAAGACCGTCCTGAAGGCCGACGCCGAGTGCATCTGCGAGGCCTTCAAAAGCAGTGCCCAGCTCGGTGTCGTGCTCAATGTCACCAAGGCCATGTCTCTCCCCGCCGCGTGCAAAGTGTCTGCCTCTTCTGCCACCAAGTGCGCATGTGGGTATCCTCTGTTTCAGTCCCTTTTCTTGCTTTTTGTCTCAAAGGCGTCTCCTTTTCCGAGTATGTTTGCTTGTTTGTCTGTGTTTTCTTCAGTTTTTGGAGGGCATCTTTTAATTCCCTTTCTATCTCTTTAAGCTCAAGGAAGATTTTTTCGAGTATCATATGTCTAAATATATGGCCTTTATTTGGCGATTGATGCTCTCGGGACTCGATTGTTGATTTACCCTGGCGTTTTGTTGTTTTTGCAGTGTCCATAGCTCCTGAGACTTCTCCAGGTACTTTCTCTTTGCCAATGCCCTTGTGTTTTATTTTCTTAGTCATAACTTTTTTGTACGCTCGAGATTGTTCTTGTTCCTTTGGGCAAAGGACAAAGCTTGATTGGATATATTTCATATTTTATACGCTTTGTTGTATTTTTTTGGGGAACAGATTTGCGCATGGTCCTACAAATTGCACGTAAAAGTCTCAAGCTTTTAGAAAGTGGTGCTGGGTAGTTTTGGCTTTTTCATGGAAGAATTCTGTGCCTGATGTTTTGGTACATTATCCTGGGTCACAAACTGGCTATATGCTGACTAAGATGTTCAGCGAATGATCGTTGTTTCATTAGGCCCAGTGGAGAATTTGTTGGAGATGTAATGTTGCCCAGTAAGAAAATTCCAAGTCACAAATCTAATGTTCCTGCTGAAGTTTTGAAGGCACTGTAGCGTAACTGTGGGGATTGACTTGACTTTGTTCATTGGAGGTGTAAGGAGTCTAGCACTCTGTTTCTCAGTTTCCTTTTCTTAATAAGAAAGAACAAAGAACCTTTAGGGTGGGCGGTACTTGAGAAACAGGAATACCTGGTCCAGGGAGATTCTTGCATCGTCTTAATCAAACTATTTGTGCTATTATCATGCCCCTCGAAGGGGCTTTATTGGCTGAAATCGTTCTTTCCGTACTATTTGCGATTCTATGTGGTAGCATAGTTTCTTGCTTTGCTGATTTGTTAGGTTTGTCATAAAAATCTTGTCTCTGTCTTGATAGTGTTTCGGCTGGATGCACATGTTCAATGTGCCCTCCTTTCTAATCAAAGTAAAAACACAAGGGAAAATGAGCTGACTGTTGGGATCTTGCCCATGCCTATATTCGATCTTCCTTCCGAAGAAGAATGATATTGGTCATGTTTTGGTTTTATTTTGCAGATCTATCTCCAATCTCTACACCAACTCCAGTAGCAATGGCGCCGGCCGCCACCAATGGATTGAACGAGCAAGCGCCGGCGCCTGCTCCAGGCAGTGACTCGGCTGCTTCCCTTCTCTCCATTCCTTCTGCAATTGGGGTCACTATTCTTGCATCAGTTGGATGGTTGCTGTTCTGAACTGGAGGGGAACTACGATGCAGTTTTGGGTGAAGAGAGAACATGGGGTTACCGAGGGACTATTGACAGAATCTTCACTTTGTCGATTTGTATTTGTGAGGTTCTGAGCGTTCTTCTTAGCTGATGTTGTAGGGTAAGAATTCATTGTGTGGAACTTCTCTTGGATGAATGATATTAATGAGGTTTCTGGATATCAGTTTCGCAATGATCTATGTCTAATTCGATTTCTCATATCAAAAGATGTTGCCGGTATGTGTTCTAAAAGTTGGACCATTCTGCAGTTAACTTTGCATTGGTTACTCAGGTGGGTGGGGGCCTAATCGGATGAAAAAGCTGACGTGGCATGACATAGTGGCGAGAGAGAACGAATAAAACGATGTTAAAAGTTTCTTTGAAAACATCGTGTTGTTCTACCTTAAAGCGCATTTGTTGTTCTTCGTAAGTGGCCAACAAGTGCACGGATGGACTTTCTACTCTCTCCTCGGATTTTCTTTTACTGTAGAAAGAGGAATCATCAAACGTAGGGGAGATTAAACAAACCGGTGGATTGACCATCACGAAATTGAGCTATCGACGGATCATTTGACGTCTAAAACTCCACGGAGTGTTGGATGCATGAAATCAGATAGTGTAATAGGTATTAAAACAGAGCTATTATTTGCTAGGATGCACGTGTAAATTGTATTAAAAAAGTCTTACACGAAAGAATTTGTATGGTTTAGAACAGTTTATATATTTTAATTGATTTATAACTTACCGATTTAAACTTCTTAATGAAGGTGGATTTAATCGGATATATTGATAGTCTTGGACTTAGACTCCGTCTTGACGATCTTTATAAATAAAAATATCGGGTTCCGCTGCATGCTTTATTCATAGGATCTGGGCAATAATTACTCGTGTAATCTAGCAAGGTGATAGTCTCCCCGATCTAAGCTTTAAAGTGGGTGGGTCCAATTTGACCGGCCAGCCGAAAGGCCCGTAATAAAAGCACGATCCCGAGCGGCTAGACCCAAAACATGGGGACGCGACGTGCTCATGATTGTCGATACGGCGTGATAAGGCGCATCACTCATTGCTAATCGCCGCATGCTTCTCATCATGCCCCCCATACACCATCCATGCCCATCGCTTTTGTACTTTTATACCCAAAATTCTCTTTCAATGACTAAGGTCATGTCTACACACCCTTTTTTTTTTCTCTCTCTTGCCCCTTTCTTTGACTATGTTTTGGATCTCGTGTCCTTTGTTCCAGAGTCTTTCAATTATCATATACTCCGAGTCAAAGCACGCCATAATGACCTGGCTAGGACTTTCACTCGCTTCTTACTTGGAACAGTGAGGTTAGTGAAGTATTCTGTAGACACGGGATATTATCTATAGCGAGCTCAGATTCTTCAGTTAGTACTACCTTTGAGCAGCCACTGGCATCACGGGGTCAGTGACACAGGGTCCGGGGTAAGTTCGAGATCGGAACCGGTAGTAGCAAAAAAAAAAAAAAACAAAGAAACGAAGGTTACATTGGGCCATAAAAGAGTGGTGCATGAAGCGTCTTTAAAGGATCCAGATGTGTTCACGGGCATTATTGAACCATTTCGATTCTTTTCAAGGTGAACTCCTTTTCAGCCCAACATACTGATAGGCTCGAAGCCCAATACGATCATGAACTTCTCATGATGAGGCCGTGCATCGAGACTATCGGGCTGCGAGTCGCGTTTCATCTCGTATCATCGTACTCACCATGATTGCGTCGCAGCATGTCTGCCCAAAGTAACATGGAGGTGTTGTTAAATGCTCAGACTTAAAAATCAACTCGTGGGATTACAAGTCGACTCTACCGAAAGTGGTCAAAACATACCGGTTTAGCACCCATTTTGCTTCAATCTTGTCAAACTCGTGCGATCTTTCACCACATATCTAGTATTCGTCTGGCGTAGCCTATGTCGACTCTTTGTCTTGAAGCACCATGGCAAGCATTATACAACCACTCCATTGCAAATAGATTGTGCCATGAGCACTCGCGCTTCATACGTGGAACAAAACAAGACAAATTGAGGGACACTCGTGTCCCATTTCTTAATAATCAAATACATTATGGCCTTGATTGGTCGTGCTACGAGTCCGGTCGATATTTTGTAGATCTAGAATGCATAAAAAAACCAAAATGTGACTTGACTACTAGCGACATGTGAGGCTTGGGTCGCGGCCAAATTTGGAAGATCTATTCCATATCATATCGGCCATTGATATGCGTAGGCTCGGCCGTGTCTAACGGGAGGCCAAGAAAGACAAGAGGGATTAATCATGCTTGACTAATCTCGCCGGCCCTGGATTTACTGGTTAAATTTTTGTCGCTCCCAAGATTAGCGAGGAGCACAACGAATTATTATATAGCAAGTAATGGCAAATATCTTATTCGATTCATGGACAAGCTATGCACAAATTCTTTTGGTGGTTGACCATTTTAAGGGAGACAGAAGCTATGTACAAACTATTTACGGAAAAATTGTCCAAAAAGTCATAAATCTATTTTACTTTTGCCAATTCAGTCTTAAACCTTTTAAGTTTACCAATTCAGTCATAAACCTTTTCACTTCTTGCCAATTCAATCCTAAACATTTTCACTTTTTGCCAATTTAGTCCTAAACCTTTTCACTTCTTGCCAATTGAGTTCATCCGGCTAATTTTGGCCAGCCGGCGCTGACGTGAGTGCTGGCTAGCTGGCCAATGTTGACGTGGCAATTTTTAATATTTTTTTCAAATTTTTTAACATTTTTTTTTCTTTTTTTTCTGCCTTCAACCCTTTGTCAGGTCCTACAACCAGCGATTGGCCGGAGGCGCGGGCTGGCGAGGTCGACCTCATCGACCTCTAGCAAAGCTTGCCCCTAGCGGCCACTGCCGAGGGCGAGCCTCGCCCATCGTTGCCTGGACGAGATCGAGGCTGACCTCGCCTAGCCATGGCAAGGGCGACTTGCCGTCACTGGGCGAGGTGAAACCTAGTGATAGCGGCCTATGGCGGGCCTCGGCCTCGCCGATGGCGAGGTCGAGCTCGCCGATGGCGAGGCCGACCGTCGGCTGGGTCGTCCCTTGCCTTGGCTAGGCGAGGTTGGCCTAGCAGCGACGGGCAAGCTTCACTAGAGGCCGGCGAGGTCGACCTCGTCGGCCCGCACCTCTGGCCTATTCGGCAACCCGGACCGGCCAGAGGGAAGAAGGCAGAAAAAAAAAGAAAGAAAAGAAAAAAAAATTCGAAAAAAAATATTAAAAAATTGCCACATCAACGTTGGCCGGACGGTTGGCGTCAGCCGGCGGTCACGTCAGCGCCGGCCGGCCAAAATTGGCCAGATGAACTTAATTAGTAAGAAGTGAAAAGGTTTAGGATTTAATTGGCAAACTTAAAAGGTTTAGGACTGAATTGGCAAAAGTGTAATACTTTTAGGACTTTTTGGATAATTTTTCCAATTGTTTACACCCATCAAGAATATTAGCGACATGAATCTGTACATTCACACGATGGAAATTCAAGAGGAAGGAAACAAGAGAAGATTCGAAAGTCGATCCGATCTCACCTAGGATACGGTCACCTTCGCGTCGCAAGTGATTTGGGTCGCCGGTTTGTACCAAGAGTGGGCCTCTGGTAACGCGAGTTAGAGAATTGTGCTCTCTAGCCTCCTGCGCCGTCGGCTAATCCGGTAGGTGATCGTCCTCTCAATGAGATTTTAATATGCAAAACTTGACAACTACCCACGTTTTGTTTAGCAACGGGAGGAGGAAAGACCCTTTCTGGTCAAGCTAGGTTTTGAGTATATTGTGAGATCTTCTAAAACTTGATTTGGTCTGTGTTGTTTGTCTAAGAATGAGTCGTCCACGAGGATTTCTTTAAATGTCACTTTCTTTCAAAGACAGATGATAACGAGCCTATGTAATCAAGATATTGGTTATATATTGTAAAAGGCGTTTTATCGATGTAGTCTTAAGTAGTGGACTATCTATCATCTTTAGCACTATAACCAGAATATTTACTTTAAAAAATGACCAAAAAACAAGAAAAATTGCCATTTGTAGCCCAACACCGTATTAACTCATAAGCCATTGTCGAGTCGAGATCATGTAATTAATCTGCTAATGAAATTGTTTCGCCGAAAAGTGTCGACGAAATGCCTTTCGAGATATGGGTCGATGAGTGAGTATATAAAGGTTGTGTAGTGTCCTTTATTGATTTTTGGACAGGAAACATATATGACAAGGAATTAAAAGTACCGAGACTAGAGATAATTGTGTCTAGTCATGTAGAAGGGTACTAGAATATAAACCAGAAGTAACATTGAATAACTGGTGTTCATCGATTGACGGTGCCTTCTACAAGCTACAATTCAAGTATTTATACTTATTATCAACAGTTAATAACAATTAAAAAGAAAATAAGCACATCTTGCATGACTCATGGAATTCAGCAACTTCTATTTATAAACAAATCCACAACTTGACCGTTGTTACTCATCCACTCTTATGACAATTATCGGGGAAAAGTGTCAAAAAAGTTCTAAATCTTTTGTATTAGTGCCGATTTAGTCCTAAAACTTTTTTTGATGCCAATTCAGTCCTAAACCTTTTGCATTGGTGCCAATTGAGTCCTAAACCTTTTTCTTGTGCTAATTCAGTTCTACACCTTTTGCATTTGTGCCAATTCAGTTCTAAACCTTTTCAATTGATGCCAATTCAGTCTTAAACCTTTCGCATTGGTGCCAATTCAGTTCTAAATTTTTTGCATTGGTGCCAATTCAGTCCTTCGACACGTGAATAGTTATTGGCCGGAAGGATTGAATTGGCATTAATGCAAAAAGTTTAGGACTGAATTGGCATCAATACAAAAAAGATTTAGGATTGAATTGGCACAAAAAAAAGATTTAGTAGGACTCAATTGGCACCAATACAAAAGATTTAGGACTCAATTAGCACAAAAAAAAGGTTTATTACTTTTTTGACACTTTTCTCCAATTATGGTAACCCACATTTCTTAGCTTCCAACATTGGTGGCTTCCTACGTCTATGTCTCCATGATCTTACGGTTGTGTGGGTTTCCCGTCTTCGCAGTTGCGTCGATATTTATCCTTTATGAGTCTAAACGGCTGAGTTCGAAATTGTCGGCTCCACTACTTAAACAACGTCAGTGGTGACTCTTTGCAGGTTGAACCGAGTCTCGTTTACCAACGTCCATGCTCTAGGACTTTGGTTATTTCCCTTCATATCTCCCGTCGGCCGAAACTAGCTTCTTTGTCGACTAAACAAGTTCGCCAACAAGAAGCTTTCGACACTTAGCATATACCGCCTCTGCCGCGTCTTGCTCGGTCTCTTTTACCCCGGACCTCAGTGAAAGACTTGGCCATTTTTGGGTGTCAACAGAAATGAAAAAAAAACGACGCGCCGAGTGTCTATTCCCTCTCCTCTCTCACAGCGTCAGTGGTGACTCTTTGCAGGTTGAACCTAGTCTCGTTTACCAACGTCCATGCTCTAGGACTTTGGTTATTTCCCTTCATATTTCCCGTCGGCCGAAACTAGCTTCTTTGTCGACTAAACAAGTTCGCCAACAAGAAGCTTTCGACAAGCATATACCGCCTCTGCCGGTCTTGCTCGGTCTCTTTACCCGACCTCAGTGAAAGACTTGGCCATTTTGGGTGTCAACAAAAATGAAAAAACGACGCGCCGAGTGTCTATTCCCTCTCCTCTCTCAGTCCACCGATAATGGGCAATATTTTACTACAGTCAATGCTCGAATCGATATTTACTACGAAAACGCGTTTAACCTCGAACTCAACGTGGTTTCCGATCGCTTACCAGGCACCACCTTCCTTGCACATTCGTGGTGCCTAATATTTTACGAAAGATGATACCAATCGAGAACATTGACCGAATCGCACGTTCAACAGACCCCTATAAATATAGCACAACTCATTCAACTACTGCTCAGCAAGAGCTATCAAAGGAAACAATCAAGTCTCTTGCGTTCTTCACCCACAACACATTTCCAAGATCATCCATGGCCTTCTCTCTCGCTTCAACCCTGAGAACCTCCCAGCTTTCTCTGTCTCCATCTCACTCGCTCTCCGCAACACAAAGGCCGCGACCCAGGATCACCATCTCTTGCAGATCATCCTCATCAGCGACCAAGTCGGTACGCGAAAATGGCTCCAACTACTACGAGCTGCTCTCACTGAACCCTAACGACACGAGTGCCGATGACGTTAAGAAAGCGTACAGATCGCTGGCGCTCCGGTATCACCCTGACGCGTGCCGCGACCCGTCGATGAAAGAAGAGTCAACGAGGATGTTCCTCCGGCTTCACGAGGCTTACGAGACGCTGTCCGACCCCACGTCGCGCCAAGAGTATAACTACGAACTGGGCCTGAGCTCGACCGTATCTTGGAGATCGCCATGCAGTGTCGTCGATAGCGATGATCAGGAGATGATGAGGAGTAGGTGGCAAGATCAGATCGTTGAGCTGAAGCGGAGGTCGAACAATCGGATGGCTCAGAAGAACGGGTCGTGGGCCGCGCGAAAACGCGCTCACAACCTCCGGAGAGATTAAGAAACCCGTTCAACCAAAATGAAGGATTAAAAAATAAAGGAAAGAAAGTATATGATTTGTTGTTGCTGTTAGTCCTTCTAGTTATTCATAATTGTGTAAGACACGTCACTGATGATTCATTGATTCAGATTCAATTATTCTTTTGTAATTCTGGTTTCTTCCTTCCCTGAAATTAACTTGATTTATACATAAAATAGCAATTGTCTGCTGGTTAATTGGTTCTTCAAACCCAGCTGTACATATGATGAACATCTACAATTTTTGGTTTGCTGTGTTGATGGTTGAATGTGCCTGAGCAATTTAGGGCATACTCTAACCTCACGTATATAACCACGAAAAGCATTATGAAATTGTAGAATTCTATTCTTCCGTGTAAAAAAATACGGTCCGTACCGGTAAATTTCAAGTTACCCACTTTTCTTGATAGTTTGCAGATACGCAATTTTGGTATAAACTAATCAGCTTTTTATTTTCGTAACTTGCTATCATTTCGAATCTACTAACTCTTATATATAATCGTCAATCTATATTAAAGTGATCTATCGATTATTGTCTGATTAATTTACTAACTAATTTTGGGTTGCCACCTTTCATTTAAGTTACTTACCGATTTTTTTTTTTTGAATTTACCAACTTTGTCTATTGTGTTATATTCTTTTATGTCATTTGATTAGCAATTTTGCTTGTAAGATCATGGAATTGACCATATCTACCAAAAGTGGATTCTTCCTTGCCATTTATCCATTTTGTTGTGGTGTATAAGGTGCACTTGCTTGATACACAATACCATTTTTTTAGAAGACTCAGGCAAAATCTAATGAGAAGTATTCTCCTCCTTGATCACTTCTCAAAACTTCGATTTTTGCATCTTTTTGATTTTCAACTGCAACCTTATATATCTTGAACACATGAAAAGCTTAATCTTTTGATTTCATAAGGTAAACATGAGTATATCTAGAGTAATTATCAATAAATGTAATAAAATAATGATTTCCGCATCTAGTTACTATACCATTTAATTCACAGATATCATAGTGCACCAATTCAAGTACTTAGTAGATCTTTCTACCTTTGAGAATGATTTCTTATATATTTTTGCTTGTAAGCATATTTCACAATCCTTCTTATCTTGAGTACCACTTTTATTCATAAATTTCAAAGTATCTCTACAAGCATGAGATACTATTATGCTACAAGGAAGACGGCTCAAGCATATAACAGAAGCAAAAGTTTCATTAATACTTAATTTGAACATTTCGTTACAAAGAGTTCCCTTTCCCAACAAATGTCTCATACTTAGATAAGATAAGCTTATTGGCCTCTAACACAGCCTTAATTCCATTATTGCACAACAAATTAGTTGATACAAGATTCTTGCGAATATTAGGAACATGTAGAACATTTATCAAAGTCAATTTCTTTCTAGAAGTGAAGTGCAATTCAACTATGCATAGGCCTAGAACAATTGCAGTATCGTGATTTCCCATTAAAACTTGTTGTTCCTTCTCTACGTGTGTATAAGTTTTGAATTTCTTCTTATCATTGTAAACATGCACAGTAGCACCGGAATCAAACCACGAATCTTTTGACTCATTCATAGTTGCCATGTTTAATTCAGTCACCATTCCAATTTGCAATTTAGATACCAGAGCAACCAATCCATTGGTGTTTTGCTCCATAACATTTGTTGTTGTGTCAATCTTTTTCTTTTGCCGGTAGCGGTACTCCTTCTTATAGTGTCCCTTTTTACCACAATAAAATCATAACTTGTCCTTCTTGAATGTTATGTCGTTGCCAAGCCTGTTGGTGTCCTTGAATTTCCTCTTGTTTCTCTTCTTATTTTCTTTGTCTCTACTATGTTGCCATTCTCAACAAAATGTCCTTGTTTGCAACTTATTTCACATATTAGTGATGTTGACGCAGAGAGAGAAAGCGTAAATTTGGAACAACTCCAAAGAACTCGAAATTTTTATTCAATAATACTGTGATCTTGATTACAAGACGGACATCTTATATATAGAGATAGGACTCCTAATACTAATGGAAATCGAATAATTAAAGATAACATCTAATAAACTAATATAGGAAACTGCCTGAATGGTAATATAGAAAACTGCCTGAATGGTAATATAGGAAACTGCCTGACTGGTAATATAGGAAACTGCCTAAATGATAATATAGGAAATTGCCTGAATGGTTGTTTTCCCCAAAATCAGAAAAACTGCCGAGATTTCCGGTGATTACGACGATCACATTGTTCAAGATAATCACATGCTAACTGTTCTACATCATTTCAGGATAGAGGGGTGTATCGGGAGCATGATACTCAAATAAGTCTGCCACATTAAATGTAGGGGAAATGTTGAGATCACCAGGAAGGTCAACTACATAGGCATTGTCGTTGATCTTCTTCAGGATGCGGCAAGGACCAATCTTCTTGTGCTTCAGTTTATTATAGGTACCTACAGGAAAACGCTCCTTTCGCAGGAAAACCATTACCTCATCGCCTACCTCAAAAATTTTCGAACGTTGCCGTTTGTCAACATCCTCCTTACACTTTGAATTAGAAGCACCCAATTGACTAGCCACAGCAGCTTGGACTTCATTAATTTTGGTCGCCAAATTCTCTGCCGCGACACTATAGCCTGGAATCTTGGGCAAGGGAACCAAATCCAGAGTATGCTGTGGTGTACGCCCATAAACGACCTGAAAGGGAGATGTACCGGTAGAGCGGTTAACCGAGTTGTTGAAGGCGAACTCAGTAGGAGCAAGATACCGGTCCCATTGCTTAGGCATATCACTGCAGAGGCAGCGAATGATATCCGCCATAGTACGATTCACAACTTCCATCTGACCATCCGTTTGGAGATGAAAAGAACTACTATACTGTAAATCAGTCCCAAACAAACGTCATAAAGTACGCCAAAAATGGCTCAGAAATTTCGTGTCACGATCGGAAGTGATTGTCTTCGGCACACCATGGAGATGGACTACTTCACGAAAGAATAAACTTGCCACATGCGAAGCATCCGAAGTTTTCTTACAAGGGATGAAATGCGCCATCTTTGAAAATCGGTTAACTACCACGAAAATAGAATCTAAATCCCGTTGAGTGCGAGGAAGTCCCAACACGAAGTCCATCGATATGTCTACCCAAGGACCCGAAGGAATAGGCAATGGGGTATAAAGACCAGTGTTCTGAGAGTGGCCCTTAGCGGTCTGGCAAATGTAGCATTTACTGACAAATCGCCCCATGTCTCGCTTCAGTTGAGGCTAATAGTACCGCTCCTCCACCAAGGCTATAGTTTTATCTCGCCCCAAATGTCCGCCGAGAGTACTACCATGAAGCTCTCGAATGAGTTGTTCACGTAAGGAACCACGTGGAATGCATAATCTATTGCCAAAGAACAAGAAATTTTCTTGAATTATCATATCGCCATGACAACTTGTTTCAGAACACTTCTCCCATATCTCACCAAAATCATCATCCTCAGGATAAAGAGAACATAGGTGATCAAAACCGACAACATCAGTACGCATGGTCACGAGTGTCGCAGCACGTCGACTCAGCGCATCTGCCACTTTATTTAAATGGCCTGCTTTGTGACGAAGCACAAAATTAAATTGCTCCAGAAAAGAAACCCATCGTGCATGCATTCGATTTAAGTGCTTCTGACTCTTGATATATTTAAGAGCCTGATGATATGTGTTAAGAACAAATTCCTGCTGATAAAGATAGGACTGCCAATGCTTTATAGCTCGCACGACAGCATAATATTCTTGCTCAAATGTCGACCAACGCCGGCGAACTTCATTAAGTTTTTCACTAAAGAAGGCTATAGGCTTACCTTCTTGGGAAAGGACAGCGCCAATCCCAACGCCGGAAGCATCACAATCCAGCTCGAACACTTTCTCAAAATCAGGGAGCATCAATACCGGCGCCGTGGAGAGCTTTTCTTTTATAAGAGCAAAACTGGCCGAAGCTTCATCTCCCCAATGGAATTTGCCCTTTTTTAAACAGTCAGTGATCGGGGCCATAATAGTACTGAAATCTCGAATGAAACGCCTATAGAATGTTGCAAGACCATGGAAACTTCGAGCCTCGCCAACATTCTTTGGAACTGGCCAATTGCGAATCACGGCCACCTTATCTGCATCAACGTGAAGTCCATCCGCGCCAACAACAAAACCCAAAAACAAGATGTGTTCTGTCATGAAGCTACACTTTTTCAGATTAATGAACAATTTATTTTGCTGCAAGGTTAGTAGGACATTCCTCAAGTGCTCCATGTGTTGACGCCCATCCGGACTATATATAAGTATATCATCAAAGAAAACTACCACAAACTTGTCAAGAAAAGGTTTGAGAACCTGAGTCATCAAACGCATGAAAGTACTAGACGCGTTAGTGAGTCCAAACGGCAGGACAAGCCATTCGTACAAACCCGCACTTGTCTTGAAGGCCATTTTCCATTCATCGCCAGGACGGATGCGAACTTGGTGGTATCCGCTTCGAAGGTCGATCTTCGTAAAAATCCGTGATCCAGCAAGTCTGTCTAGCATATCATCAAGTCGTGGAATTGGAAACCTATACTTGACAGTAATCCGGTTAATGGCACGACTGTCTACACACATCCGTGATCCATGGTCTTGCAACATTCTATAGGCGTTTCATTCGAGATTTCAGTACTATTATGGCCCCGATCACTGACTGTTTAAAAAAGGGCAAATTCCATTGGGGAGATGAAGCTTCGGCCAGTTTTGCTCTTATAAAAGAAAAGCTCTCCATGACGCCGGTATTGATGCTCCCTGATTTTGAGAAAGTGTTCGAGCTGGATTGTGATGCTTCCGGCGTTGGGATTGGCGCTGTCCTTTCCCAAGAAGGTAAGCCTATAGCCTTCTTTAGTGAAAAATTTAATGAAGTTCGCCGGCGTTGGTCGACATATGAGCAGGAATATTATGCTGTCGTGCGAGCTATAAAGCATTGACAGTCCTATCTT